CAATGTCGAATTCCCTCTCCTCGACGTCCATGTACGGTATTTTCGGCGGATAATTCGGGGGAATCACCTCCGCGGGAAATCCGTCTCTTTTAGACAATTCTCTACAAACAAACACAAGTCCAGCTATGTTTACTGGTCTAGGAGGTGTGTCTAATTCGCTTGTCTCGAACACCTTGTCGGGTAGACAGAATCTCGTACTGGCCTCCGCTGCTCTTCTTTCATCCTCGTCTTCGTAGGGCACTTTTGTACACAAAAACTCGTTGAACGATCCACTATTCTTAAAAAGCATTTTCTGTCCGACGATAGAGAAAGAATTGGTCGTGTAGGTACCGAAGCACGTTAACCGTAACGATATGGCTATGTAGCCAGATGGATGGTTCTCCTCGTCCACGAGACCGAATGTATTGTTCACTTGGTACGCTCTGGGTAGATGATAAATGTCGTTGCTCGCCATCATTACGTGATCACAGAGACAACCCGACATCGGGATCTTTGAATTTCCCAGGGGATCCTTTATCACCTCCTCGGGACATATGTGGATCTCCTTGATCCTATACACGTCCAATAATAATGGTTTCGACCGCAAACTCTCCACCAGTTCGCCAGGATTCCTTACGAAGATGTACAATTTCCCGGCGTTGAAATACACATTACGAAAGCCTGCTTCTCGCGTCATTTCCTTATCTCTCTCAGATTTTGTTAATAAGAAATTAGTTTGAAAGATTCGAAACAATGGAATGTCTGCGAATTGCATATCGACGCCTAGAGCCGACGGGTTGACCCTGGCCAATTTCTCAGCGTACAAACTGACATAGTCTACGAACACTTCCAGGGTATATAGTTTCTCGTCCTTTAACGAGACGCATTCTCTCCGATACGTATCCATGTCGGTGAAATGATTTTGTTTGGTGTTCAAGAAAGCGACGATACGAACGTTGGTTAACGAGACAGTTTGAAAGTACTTGTAATTTTGAATACTGGGCTGGTTTAAAAGATCGATTTGTTTGTGAAAACAATTGAATTCGTTTGGCGGTGATTCTCTCGATAAAGGGTATCTTATTTGCCCATGCTCTTTATATATATGCATATATAATTTTCATGAATAACACAAACTGTTTATGAAACAATACTTATACTTTCTCGTTCGTACTTTGTCTTTTTAATAAACGAGTGGTATATCTTAGCGCAAAGAAATATTACATTATATTTATGATACTTGAATTATCTTCTAATACTAATATATTAAAATATAGTTCGATGCATATGTTCGGGAACACATTTAGTCCCTCGTGTCGTACACATTACGCTTCACTTTTGATTGAATATACTTATACGTACATATATTCTTATTCGTTCCCACTGATGACATATTACAGGTTACACATGGCAGTGAAAAGCTAGAAATAATCAGTCGTTTACATTTACAATTATTCGTTATATGTTATTATAATCTATATCGATAAATTTCAATTAAAAAACAAAACATGTTACACAGATAAAATTGTAAATGTAAAGAATGAGAATGAGCGGGCTTAAAGCGCGCTTGTAGTATATTTACATAAATATAATAGAGTGAAATTTATGTTAAATTTCTTCTGAATTCGACAATTTTGTACAGTTAGTCTAACTTCGTACTTAAAAACGACCAACATCCTCAGAGTGTATATTTTGCAAATAAAAATTAGTTAATGTATGTAATTATCCCATTCTCTATTCGTTTTCGACGGAGTAGAGCTAAATATATTCTTCATATTTTCTTTCCAATCGGATAGACGAAACTCATCTTGAGTCAAATTCTGATCCCACGAAGCTTTTTGTTTCACCGGTGTCGTGTTGTAGCTATCGTTAATGTTCGTCGTACTGCTCATACTGTACGTTTGATAACCAGTATCTTGTACACAATTAGAAACACTGTAGTGATCAGAAATACCTAAAGTCGCATTGGTTTGTTGCAATATGCAACTTTCATTTGTATAGATCTTACAAGAATCAGTCGATTGTTTAAACGCGTTAGAGGTGTTAAGTTGTTTAACATTAAACTCGGAAGCTTCTGTTTTGGGATAGCGTTCGGAATGAGTTGAACTGTTGGAAACAATTTTAGGCTCTGCGATGCTGCTGACTTGAATGCACGTTGAATTAGTATCGAAACATACGAAATCGTCCATTTTCTTTTCCGTCGTCGGTATGTTTACTTTGTCAAGGGGTTCGTCTAAAAATTGCAATGCATAATTATTACTAAAACGATATCTTTCAGGTATATCTTAGTAAGCATACTAATATTGGTAATTACCTAGAGAATGATCGTTAAAATACTCTTTATGAAACAAAATAGATTGATGCTCGTCGATACTCATTTCTGTAGTAAAATCTAATCGAGTAACTGGACGTAATTTTGATCTGATATTTTCACCGGAGACGTTATGTGGCGTACCGTGTATAGGAGATATACTAGGAGATGATAAATTCCCTGCGGTAATTTGCGATGTAGCGTGTTTGTCATATGTAGTTTCTAAATGCTATAGAACAAAATTTTATAAATTTTTAATATCCATACGCGTAACGTTAAAGTTACGAATAAATAAGACTTCTATTTACCTTCATCGGAAGTCCGTCGACTAACATCCCACTTTGCGGAGGGCTAGAACACAATAAAGATCCGCTCATTTGTATAGGTGACAGATAAACAGAAGCTTCTTCTTCGTTTCCCATGCAGTCGTCGTTATTAAAAAACAATTTTCGTCTTAATGAATTGTTACTCGAGTTAGCGTCGTCGCCTTCAGCGTTTTGTTCCTAGAAATGAAACACAGGAGGCTTAGTAACAAAGACAGAATCGCGTTTCATCGAATAGGTTTTTTATTTACTTGTGTAAATGTAAAATATGGTTTTAAAGCTTCTGCGACATGTGGCGGCAATTCTGGCGGCAAGGATAATACTGTTTGACTCCAACCTGAAAAGAAATAAAAATTAGAGAGTGTAAAATGTATTTATTAATCTTTATAATAATACCATCTTTTTTTGTTTTTGAAGATTCCAAATGCAAACTATTAGAGGCTCTTTTGGGAGTATCTTCTTTTGCTTTTATTCTACTGTCCTTCCTTTTCATTTCCCATGGGCTAGGAATAATCTGATTTTCTTTGAAGAATTGATCTATGGCTGCTTGAGCTTTTATCTCTGTTTCTGGATCCATACAGTGTATTTGTTGCATAGGAAATTCTTCTATTTTTGCTGGCTGTATCAGTGCAAGCTCATCCACGCTCCATGCAAAATCAGGAGATTGTTGGGATGGAGTAGAAGTCTACGTATTACATTAAGGATTGTACAAGTTATTTAGAAATTAATTAAAAATAAAATAAAATTAATAAAATTATATGACCTTATGTTATTGTAAGAAATGAAAATGGTATTTCAAAAACTTACCTTACTAAATACAGTTGGACTAATCACAGATAAATGCAGTCTATTAGTTAAATCCGTTTCAAATGGATTTCTTGCTATAAATTTTGTCAAACCAGACGGTGGAGTAATATGGTTTGGAAGTACAGTGAAGTAACTCATGTTACTTTGATACTGTGCATGCCTCAAATTTGTTTCGCAATGCTTCACAGGAGTCTTATATAACACAGGACTTTTTATTGATAAGCTATCACAATTATTTTCATTTTTTATCGGCGTAGTCCATTTCAATTGATCCATTCCAATATAACTATACTAATCATATTATATGTATTGACTTTTATACTACAAGTATGTTTATTTCTCCAAAACGTGTAAACAGTACCTCTATTCGTTTACAACCACACTTAGAAATTGTTTAAAGTACTTACTTTCACTGTCGCCGATTTTTCAACCTTTCTTCGTAACTCGTTCTTTCAACTTTCGATTATTACCGTGTAAAAATAATGATAATAGTTAATGGATTCCTTTGATCAGGCTGTCAGTCTTACGTTGCGCTCTACCCTTTTACGATATAATAATTATATTGCCATTACTCGTCAATTTGTTTACAAATTTGAATTATTTTGAACCAACGAACTATAGTCACGTGACTTACGTCGTTGATTACACGTTAACGAATGAATAGATCAGCTGCATCAGAAAAGCCACCGCTCACTAAGCCGCTCTATGAGCGGGTTTTACTACTAGTAGCGCCATCGGTGGCAAAACGTCCAAGTTTGTAATGAAAATAGCTTCCACTGTCGCCGTTAGATGGCGCACTAACTGAAGAATTGATAATTATTCTTAAATTAAATAACTATTCATATAGATGGTAAATTTGACATATTTAGCAATATATTGTAGTGTTATAAAGCAAAGAATCGTATTTTCCCTAACTATTTTCCCTAAGAACTTGGGTGCGTTGCCACGATTTGATTTTGTACATTGTTGCATTGTACGTGGCGCATACTAAAGCTTAAGGTATTCTACACGTGAAATTTATTTCATACGAATGAAAACGTGTGTACTTTTTCATATGAATTTTGAATTAAACGTATAATCTCGAGGTTTATATTAGGCAATACGAACTAACTACGCATGATTTTATCTGAATAAAAACAATATTTTGTGATATAGAAAATAAATTTCAGGTTAATTTTCTGCTTTAATGAATACTAATTTGTTATATATAGAGTTATAGTAGAAGGAAATGAATTGTCCATTGATATCAGGAAGGTTGTCACGATAATTACCGAAGTTCTAGTTTTATAAACCAGAAATAATTGATTTTATATTATTGTTATATTTCTATGTGTCGTTTCAGCGACAATGCGTTTAACAGGTTGGCGATATGGTGTATTTGTAGGATGTTTTATTGGGCTTGTGGGAATACAATGCTATTTCACAATGATAAGTCCTATGCTTAATCCAGAAAAATACAGTGTGTACAATGTTTTTTTTTTAATTATCAGTCCCCTTTTTTTATTATGGATTATGATTAACTAAATTATTTTAGAAATAATGCGAGAAGAAACGAATAACATCGCGAAAGGAAGAAGGCAAATGTAAAAGAAAATGTACTGTATTATTAATGTTGGTAGTAAAAAGGGATGCTAAGACATGTATTGTATAAAATAAACGTTTATATCCCTATATAATACAATTGGACCACTAGTTTTGGAAAGGGCATAAGTCACTAAAAATATGTGCGTATAAAATGGATTAAAGAATATTTAGAGCATTAAGTTAGAAAATCAATAAACATAATGACGCACTCTTTTTACAGTTATTAATCTAATTACATCGCTGTATAAATGTTTGTTGCAAGAAGTTTCTTATTTGGCATGACTAGAAACTTTCCTACAGGCATACAAACTTATAATATATGTTAGAAATTGTCATGATCGCAAACATCGAGGAAGATATCGAATGCCTCACGATTACAATTTCCATCAGCTGTGAAAACATATTTATGAAACGTCCCGTCCATACAAATAGCTGTAAGAAGACAGGAAATATAGGAATAAAATAAATAACGTATTTATGAATATTTCGTGTTAATATAATACTAGATTTTATTGTATAATAAATACCTATAACAGAATTCCTTGTGCCAAATGCACACATGCATGCACATTCTGGTGGTACTGTAAAAGTTGCCAATGCCCATTGACTTTCAACATAATTTCCCAAAAATCCCATTTTTGAGAACCTGTAAAGATATTAAGTTTTTTAATTTAATAACAAAAATGACAATCTTATAAATGCCTCTTGTGATAAATACAAATTTTAGTTCTATTTACGTACGTAGATCTGCGATTCAATTGCGTGTCTTTCAATGCAAATATATGTACCGTTCCTTTGTCGCTGGAAGCGCATAAAAATTCCGAATCTCTGCTGAATGTAATACTGAAACATATACTGCGTAAAACTTGTATGTTTTAAAAAAACACATGCATAGAATATTTTTCTAGTATGTATTTATGTTCTTTTTTTTTTATTCACCAGTAAAGTGTAGCAGAGTCCGCACCTCTCCTCAATTCCACTAGAAGGTGTCTACGTATACTGTCCCACACTCTAACTAAAGTACCCTGTGTGGAAGCTGTTGCAATCATAGTTCCACTGCTGTTAACTGCGAGACAAGCCAATGCACCCTAATAGTATTATTTGTAAATATAAAATACTAATAGAAAAAATTGATAATACTGTTTTCATTTTCTCTGCATAAAATATACATACCTGATGTGCTGCAAGAGTTGCAGGAGTGCTAGAACTTCCAGCCTCTGTAGCACCAAGATCAACCAATTGTACGCTGCCCTGTTTACGGCCAGGGAAAACAAGGAGCTGTTTTTGCGCGCTAGCTAAAGTAGCAACTTCAATCAATCCTTTTGGATTATCTCTTGTTTCTAAAGTTAACAATCTTCTTGTCGGCATAGGAAATGAAAAGACGTGCACCTCGTGTTGAAGTGCCACTATCAATCTGTTTTATAAAATCATTCCTAACTAGGTAAATGTATTACTTATGTTTGCAGAGCAAAAAGTGTGGTTTCATTAATAAACTTACTTGTCTCTGCGCAATCTGACAGCTTTAATATGACTGGTAAACGTAACTTCCATTACAAATTTTTTAGACAAATCATCATAGATAAGTACTGTATTTTCTGCAAACTTTGGTCTCGTACCACCGCCTACTATAGCAATAATGTTTGTTCTCCAAAGCATTTCTGCAATGGCTATACTACCCATTACGTCGTTCTCAAAATGTGCTTTTTCAACTAATGGTTCTACATTGTATACTCTAAGACCAGATTCCATACAACATGTAAAGCATCCTAAAAAAATAAAAATTAAATATGTATGTCAGCTCAAAATAGTATTGTCACGAACAAGATTAATATTCATAATGTTGAATTTGCACATTTTTATATTATGTTTTATCAATTTGCTAAAATAAAATAAATAAATAGATCGCCAACCACTTCGATTTTATCGATTTTAACCTAAAAACGTTTAAACAACGTAGAAACAGTATCAATTTTGAGAACAGTAAAGTCAAATGCGTCATAATTATTTAAATCTCGAGTAATTAAAACCATAAACAATAGTTACCTTGATCCTGATTAAATTGTAAATTAAGAATATGATTTTCTCCAGCCATTTGATTTTACATTAAGTCGAACAAGTAAATGATTCTCTTTCGAGGTATTTCCTAATTCCTTTTATACTAACTATAATACGAATGTTTGTTTACATTCTCGTTTCACAATCACCTGTAACGCCTGTAACACAATGTTTAGTAGATTATTCTTTACGAGGTTAACAAAGATAAGGCCGATTTTCATTATTAAAGGAAGACTTTATGTAAACAAAAACACATGAATATCAGTGATGGGCAAAACCCTAGGCTTCGAATAAATCTGAAGTTTGCCAATATGTTTGTCTCGTTTCTTCTGTTGAACATTTTCCAAAGAAGGAAACGAGAGAAACACATCAGGAAACTTCAAATTTATTCGAAGTCTAGGGTTTTGCCCATCACTGATGAATATGACAGAACATGAGAGGTTTCATTGGTATATATAATGAAATTATATTTCTTGTAATTTTTTGTCCTATAAAGGTTTTTTCATAACATTGTGTGAAAATCATAACAGTTTTCAAATAAAAATAAAAATTCCTAGCAGGAGATTCTTCATCTTTAAATTCGTATTGTTGGTGGTACTGATTGTTCTAATATCCTGCATTGCAGGTTCCATAGTGTGTAGGGGCCTGTGTTAACAAAATTCTGTCAAAAAAATGTCAGTGATGGTAAGTCTGAATATAAAACTGACAATTGATCTCGTTTTATCCTTCGTGTTATGAATTCGTGGTAATAAATACGTGAAAAAGCTAATTCAGAAAATAGTTAAATATAACTTCTGACCTCCCCCTCCTTACTTCAACACTCATCAATACTTTTTGACTGTGGATGTTGCATGCTTTAAGTGAATATTACTCGATCGTTAATTACTAAAATTTAATTATTCGCAGAGGATGAAAGCAGCAAGGTGTCCCACTGATGAACTCAGTATCTCAAATTGTGCTATTATCAATGGAGATGACTTCCCAGATGATGTCAGGTACAGATAGTTATCTTGATATTATTTCATTGATTGAATACCTATAATAAGATCTAAAGATTAGAAGACCATATATGCAACAGAGGTTTCAGAGACTCTTTTAACTAATTAAATGGAAACTTCATTCAATTTTTATTTCTTTAATAACAGAGCTGTACTAAAATTAACTATGCAATGTTAAATGTATATAATGTTGTACAATGAACAATGTATGTATGCATGTATGTGGTTTGTTGTGTGTCCCCAAGGGGTTTACATGTCTTCCATTTCCATCTCCCAACCTTGTATAATACATTTTCTTTTTACATTTCTTAAATCTATCCTTATTCTAACCTTATTAACTTCTCCCATGCCTCTGTCCTTCTTTTCTGTCTATCTTCTTCCCTGCCATTTTTTTCACCTCTTTCTCTTCTCTGTCTCTCTCCCTATTCTGCTTCTTCCAATTCTTCTTCTTCTTCTTCATCCCTTCTGCTTCCTTCTATCTTCATTTCCATACTTATCCTCTGATGAACAGTTTATGTTTAATATATAAAAAATAATACAAGAGTATTAAGAATAACAAATATTAATGTACTAGATTATTTTAAATACAAGTTGTATTTTTTAGGCACATCGAAGTTACCACTGTACCGAATCACCATTTTGTTTTTACTGTAAAAAGACATCATGATGTGCCCAGGGGAACTGTGGGTTTTAGTTTACCTCAACGAAAATGGGCTACCCTTTCCCTTAATCAGGACATTGAAGTTAGACCTTATCACTTTAATCCTACTTCAAGCACAGAGTGTTTATGCACTATTGTACTGGAAGCTGACTTTTTACAAAAGAAATCGTGCGTACAATATTTCTTTGTCTTCGTATTTATAGCAATACTTATCGAAAATAATTCATAATGGAATCTATTTTAGAACTACTTTGGAACCATACAATACAGACGAAATGGCGAAAGATTTCTTACTGCAATTTTCGGGACAGGCATTCACCGTGGGTCAGCAGTTGGTGTTTCAGTTTAAAGATAAGAAAATGCTTGGTCTTGTGGTTAAGAGTTTGGAAGCCGCTGATCTTTCTGCTATAAGTTCTGGGCAAAACACGGCGCCTAAAAAGACCCAAATGGGACGATGTTTGGGCGACACTGTGATACAGTTTGAGAAAGCTGAGAATTCTAGTTTGAATCTCGTTGGTAAAGCGAAAGGAAAGGTCGTTCGTCAGTCGATTATCAATCCCGATTGGGACTTCCAGAAAATGGGAATCGGTGGACTGGATAAAGAATTTAGCGCTATTTTTCGAAGAGCATTCGCATCCCGTGTCTTCCCACCAGAGATCGTTACTCAATTGGGTTGCAAACACGTGAAAGGAATTTTACTTTATGGTCCGCCAGGTACAGGTAAAACGCTGATGGCACGACAGATAGGGACTATGTTGAATGCCAGAGAGCCTAAAATCGTCAATGGTCCTCAGATTTTGGATAAATATGTTGGAGAAAGCGAAGCTAATATTAGAAGGTTATTTGCTGAAGCTGAAGACGAGGAGAAAAGGGTACAAAAATATATTTATTCTTCATTGAATATTTAATTCGAATATTATTGTCATAAGTAAAACTTGCTTTACAGCTTGGCCCGAACAGTGGATTGCATATAATCATATTTGATGAGATCGATGCTATTTGTAAATCCCGAGGTAGCGTTGCTGGAAATACAGGAGTACACGATACTGTTGTGAATCAATTGCTCGCAAAGATCGATGGCGTGGAACAATTAAATAATATTCTTGTTATTGGTATGACTAACAGAAGAGATATGATCGACGAAGCACTGTTACGACCTGGCAGATTAGAGGTATTTTTTTTAATAATTCCCAACTGAATATAAATTTAAAAGATATGTTCGAAAGCTACTCTAACAAAATTCGTATATTTAAAGGTACAAATGGAGATCAGTTTGCCAGACGAGCATGGTAGATTACAAATCCTTAATATTCATACATCCAGAATGAGAGATTATAAGAAAATAGCGCCTGATGTTGATTTGAAGGAATTAGCTATAAAGACTAAAAATTTCAGTGGCGCGGAATTAGAAGGTTTAGTTAGAGCTGCCCAAAGTACTGCTATGAATAGATTGATCAAAGCCTCTAGCAAGGTAGAGGTGGATCCTGCTGCGATGGAGAAGCTTATGGTTTCTAGAACTGATTTCCTTCATGCTTTAGACAATGATGTTAAACCTGTAAGTAATTTTATAATGATTCAAGTAGTATCGATCGTTATACTTCAATTATTCTATAATCTATTACGTATTCTAGGCATTTGGTACAAGCGCAGAAGCTTTGGATCATCTTCTTACGCGAGGAATTATTAATTGGGGAAAACCAGTGACAGAAATTTTGTCCGATGGTAATCTCTATATCCAAGAGGCTCGCTCTACCGAAGGTTCTGGTCTTGTGTCGGTTCTTATAGAAGGACCGCCAAATAGTGGAAAAACGGCTCTTGCTGCTCAAATAGCTAAAAATTCCGATTTTCCATTTGTCAAAGTCTGCACGCCAGAGGATATGGTCGGTTTCACCGAGCCTGCGAAATGTCTTTCTATCCGAAAGGTAACGTAAAAGTTATTAAATAAAATTTCTGTCGTTCTTTACAATCGATAAAATTAGCAGATATTAAACGAAGGAAATAACAAGTAAAATGTTTGTTTCACGTTCTAATTTTTTAGATATTCGACGATGCATATCGCTCGCAACTTAGTTGCATTTTAGTTGATAATATCGAGCGTTTGTTAGATTACGGTCCAATTGGACCGCGATATTCTAACTTGACCTTGCAAGCGCTTTTAGTTTTATTGAAAAAACAGCCACCGCGTGGTCGCAAATTATTGATACTTTGCACTACGAGTCGCAGGTAAAACTTTTATCTTCGCTAAAATAATTATATAACATTACAGTGATTCGTATAATAATAGTAATATATTTTGTATAGACAAGTTCTAGATGACATGGAAATGTTATCAGCATTTAGTACAACTCTTCATGTACCCAACTTGTCGACTCCTGATCATCTCTTGAGCGTTTTGGAGGAAGTAGATCTCTTTACTAAAAACGAAATGGCATCTCTGCATGCGAAACTTCAAGGAAAACGGTAAGTTCTAAATTATGGAGTAAAAAAATATTGATTTTATAAAAATGTATCGACTTTAAATACATAACCTTTGTATTTTCTTTTACAGGGTATTTATTGGTATAAAAAAGTTGCTATGTCTAATAGATATGGCACGTCAAGTGGAAGCGAGCTACAGAGTTCCGAAATTCCTTTCGAAATTAGAAGAAGAGGGTGGACTAGAATAATAAGTGTTTAATTCGAAATTGTAATTGTTTATGTAGAAATGGATTAGGTGTCGTTTACTAAATAACAATACGTAGTGCATAATTAATTGACCCATATGCATTTAAATCCACGTTAAATTAAACGTAAATGAGTTGAAAAACATCAGATAAAGTTATTGTTATAAACTATATACGTTTCGTAGAAAGAGACAAGCATTTGAATTACTTATAAATGTTATAATATATATTTTGTAATATTTTGCTTAGAAAAATTACATTTATTTATTTATTTTTTCTAACTAATTTTAGAAAATGATTTAGAAATATCAAAGCAATACAGTATTTATATTTTTTTACTTATGCAGTCATTTACGTATACTATGAATAGCTTGAAACTTTCAAAGAAATTTTATAATTTAAAAACAATTGTATGACAAGTGTACAGTCAAAATGTAAAAAAGAAAAAATATAATAGTCGACAAATTTTTGTTATAAGATAAAATTAAATATTTACAAGGCATTTTCTCGTGAAATATATTTTAGATTATTGTTCTATTATGAAAATTTTGAAAGGGTCAGTATATTTAATGTACTGGCAATACGTACATGTAAAATAGGTGTTATGCGTTTCTTGTCTGTATAAATACGAAACTTATTTCCATATGTTACGGAAAAGTGCTCCTTTCAATTTTAACGTATTATTATTCGTTACAGTGAGATAGACTTGTCCTATATTAATAATAAAATCTTTTTAATGTTCGTTACAATAGTAAACACATTAATCAGAAAAAATTACATTATACATATTGTACATTTTTATTTTTATGCCCTCATTTGGATGTAATCTATATAGATATAACTATTTACCGTATGTCTATTACTATTTCAAAAGTTTATTGCAGTCCTTGTTGTAAATGTATGTATGTATGTACTTAGTTATCTGATGTTTGTTAATAGCTATGTGGTTAATACCTTTTAGAGGTATTTTTGTAGAGAATTATTGTGAAATCATTCCAAATATATAATGTATACAAATATTTACTTTATTATTAACATTTCAGTGAGAATTGTAAAGAAATGTAATATCATTTGTTCTTTGAAGAAAGATGAAATTTAATGTTTTTATTTGAAATAAATCGACATATGAATCTGTATGTAACCAACATATTATGCATAAGTACATTTGGGTAATGTTTAATTATAACTCGTTCTATAGCAATTATTTATGTATTATGTTAAACAGATTAAAAATTCGTTAATATTTATGTTAAATTAAATTGCCCACAAGGGAAGTTGTATATCACATTATAGATTTACTATTGCGCTTGATAAATGATGTAACTCAAAACATCTCTCTGTATTTATGACCAATATTTATGTATTAATATACTGCAATAATAAAATTATATCTTGCAAATATGTGTAACATGTGTATAAGAATGGAATAAAATCGACATGAATATAAAGTCAATTTTAGGTTGGTTTTTTTACTTCAATCCATAATCTAACAAATATTAATTGTAAATTTGTGATTTGAACAAAATTCTGTTAAAAATAAGACACAATGACGATATTGTCCATTTGAAAGTATATATTACATTGTATTATTTTTTTCTCATTGTTTGTATGCAAATATAATTATATTACAGCTCTAAGTTACAATTCACGAGTATTTACACAGCTGTAAAGTGTAAGCTGTAAGTAAAAATAATTTTAAACAGCACACATTTCAGGTGTATCTATTCCAAGGAGGCATATTAATCAAATGAATTAATAAAGAACTCACACATACTGTAGATCTCAATTCTATGAATATATGTTCTCTAGTAAACATTTTTACAAACATTAATAATTATCGTTCTATACAATAATATACAACTTTTATACACTTAATCTTCCGAATATGTAGTGCCTTGCGATGATATATTTCAGTTTAGCAATCTTTTAAACAATGTTCCTTTGTTATGTGCGTTTACACTTTGTTCTGAAGTTAATTAAAATAATCGAAGTTACGACGATATTAAAGAATTTGTTAACACAAATTATTCATTTTTTATGTAATACTAAGTGTGAAATGTATAAAATTGTACATTACTCGTGACGTACTTTATAATTCGATGAATTCGTAATACAATGTAAAGAAACAATACAAATTGATGAAAATATACAACAATCGAATAAACTTGGGAGATGAATATTTTAACTTTAATACTTTTTTTACGATTTAAATAAAAATTATCTTCTTGGCGTCTACATAAATTGACAATTAAAATAGCAAAAAGAGAAGCATCGAATCCAGATATTGTGGAGTGTAAATAAGGCAATTTTGAAAATAAATTTACACATGTAAATCGTATGTGTGTGCCAATATATATGTACGTATAGGCACACGTATATAAACGAAAAAGATATTAATATTGGGGAACACAATTTATCGACATATAAAAATAATGCACACGTTCTTTCTGTGTATAAGTCTTTCTTTTTTCTAAATTTGCTATTCATTTTGTCAATTTTACTTTGTGGCTTCTAAATTGAAAAAAATACGATAAGTAAAAATCAACAGATTAATATACAATAAATTTCCATATCGCGTTTCATTAATGTACAATGTACGTTTTACTTTCCCATCAAATTATTATGATACATCTCTCATTCAACATTCCATGTCTTGTTGCAATGTAACACATGTAAATCAATTTTACAGCGAAAAGATTTTACAAACGAAAAATAAGATTTAGGTTATCACATAAATCTGATATAAACATATATTTTCTATCATCGGTTTCTTCGTCTTTATTCGTGTAACTGAACGTAACTACGATTCCTTGTTCTTTATGTAAAGATAAAAACAATATATATTTGTATATATAGTATGTACAATCAGAAAATGTGACTATTCTCCATGTGCTTTGAGTACTTGGCAGTATTTAGGCACCTCAATTCCTCCGAGGAAAGAACAATTTATACTTCATACTCGTTATACTTTAAATTTCCTGTGATACGTTATTTTGTAACATTTCATTATGATTTTTATTTCTATATAAATTATGTAGATGAAACGAGGATATTTAAAATAATATCGGTATCGATATCATTTGATATTTACTTATTGTACAAAGTATATTACTTATTCTTGCCATAGTAGAACTTCTATAATTCTTTAATCGTCGATAATATTTTCTTTACGAAATAAATAATTCTGCCGTAGATGCGTGTCAGGTATGTAATATATCTTTGTCCCAAACATATTGGTCAAACGCATATTAAAAAATCTTAAATTTATGATTCGTACTTGAAATACATATGTGTAATGCGTTCTGCATAGAAAGATAACGTACGTCAAGTTTATCACACCACATTGACAATATTTTATATAATTTTAAAGCACGAATTTGGAACACTTAGTACGAAGTTCAAACGTAGTTATATGAATCAACAATATCATATTTATCCTTAATAATACTCAAGTACGCCTCATTAATATCTATTGTAAGTATATATGTGAAACAATCTTTACATTCTTGTATCGTAGGTAAATCGATATCCGTTATGTGTTAAGTCATGTTACAAGCATTGCGTTAAGTGTCTGCAAGTTATCTCACAATGGTAATACTATAATATATGCAGAGTCTAAAAACACAGATCATGTTTTCTAAATAACAATTATATATAAAATATTCTTAACATGTACATACATTGGAGAAAAGTTCTCAATATCGATTAGAAACGATGTTTGTGACATGCGTTTGCATCAACCAGCACCAAGCAACTTATATGCTCGAAAAATCTGTGTCTTGCCCTCCTCGACAATATAGACTACAGAGATCTTATGTTACAAATACTTTGTTAATATAGTATATAAAGGAGCCTGAAATAAAAGCATTGAGAAATGTAAAAATTTTTCTCCGAGGAACGAAATAGTTTGCTTTTGTTTTAAGATTAAAAAGAACATTTATGTTTTGCACCATCGAAATGAATAAAAATACTATACAAGTTTGTTTCACAGTGATGTATCTTCAATTTGCCAATAATACGAGTTCGATGTATACTATAAATGAAGATAATAATAAGAATTAGCATTAAGACAATATATATATATGTATGCTGCTTTTTTTTAATCGATGTCTTGTTACCGTTTAAATTAACAACAACATGAAAAAATGAAAGAGGGAAAAGTTGCGCAAACGATTTTTTAACAACAGATGCTATTAATCATTGTAATTTCATTATGGCACACGAAAGAAAATCACTTTATTTGGGCGTCGTGTCGTTAACCTCATTAATAGAGCATGAAGAATTATCTACTATGACTATTTAATATTAATATCACAAATGTTTACATTTAATGCTTTTGAATTAGTTCAAATTTTATATTCAATTTGAGCTGTAGCTAGATAACCGTCCTAGCGTTTCAGCATTTACTATACTCTCAGTCATCTCCACTGCAGAGAAACTCTGTACCTGACATTGTCAGGAAAATATATAATAAAAAATAAGCATAACAATAAGACAAATCACGAAGGCTTGCAAGACGGAAATTTCTTAACATTAATGCATGAAATTGGTTTGCGCCATCTTCGTTTACTTTGATGTGAATTCGGTTTACTGTTGTGACTATTCCACGTAGTTTTTTGGTCTTCACTGGTTCTGTCCATTTCTTGAAGCCTTTTCTCTTCTAGATAAAAAAACAAAAACATGTAATTGATACTTGTTACATATTTTTATCGTAAGGGTTAATACATTAAAAAATTTGTAATATGCAATTGTTTAGATGCACAAATCAAACTAATAACTATGTTTAATCGTGCTGTATAGAAATTAAAAATTTCTTTTGCTATATAATTACAATGTTACTGTTAATAGTTTAGTACATGCATGACACATTGCAAAAGCTAATGCATAGGACTATTAAAAACAAACTCCATGGACGTAAAGATTTCGATTTAAACATTTGCTTAATATAAAACTTGGAATGTTATAAAATACATAGGGGGTCAAACAGGGTGTACGCTATGTAGAGAGTACCCGTTTTTTATCAGCTCGCAACATCATAGGTAGATATGAGTGTGTCAATGTTACAGAATGGTGCATGTCTTTGATAAGAATACTAGTAGTCGATTTGAAAAAGTTTGTTCGGTATTCCGTTTAAAATCTGAAAAGCAAAAGCTGTATTTTATTGAAATGTCTATGTACCTTTTATTTTATAATAATTATAATTTACATAGATGAGCTATGTTTCCAGTTATATTTCTGCTTTATCATTATTTGCAATAGGAAAATTGGTACAATTTGACATATTAGTAAGAGGAATTTTTCGTTTTATTTATTTCAATAATTTATCTTTCACGAGAAAACCAATGACAGCATGTTATACAAATCTTAGTTCGCAAATAAATACATGCAAATATATTTATTTTGTTAAAACACAGTTACACATACAAATTAAACAAATCACACATGTCTACTAAATAATAATATTATTATTCTAATTATCATGTGATTTAGGTAATAATTAATTCGAAGATGCAATTTTTGTGTTACAATATATTAAGCAACAAATGTATAAACAACAAAAGTTTTTATATTTTTTTTTAGAATAATTTCAGGCATGCAGGTCTCGATGCACTTATCTTAACTTTGTATTAGTTACAAGTATATACATACAATACGATATCAAATGCTATGATAACACGAAAATATAAGCTTCGATACAAAATTGTAATACCATACTGCACGATGCAAACTGAAAACATAGCAAGTACATACCATTTAACTGATGTTCAGTGTAATATGTAGGATTGTCATCACCTCCATAATGATATTCCATCAGGTACGGTAGTACAGTCATACTGTGCCATTTGTGTCCTTTAAGAGGAGGTATAGGCACTTCTTCTTGAGTTCTAGGATGCCTGCATATAGTCCATGGATGTTTTCTAACTTCTTGTAAAGTAAATCTTTTATCTGCATCTTTTTGTAACATTCCATGTATAAGGGACTTCAATGTCTCTTCTACTTCTTCAGGTATTGTGTATTCACCTTTTCCTATATTTTCATATAATTTATAAATATTGTCACCTTGAAAAGGATATTGACCTGTTGTTATATTGTACCTACAAAACATTCACGTCTCTATTAGGAGAATAAGCAATAAGTTTATATTTATGTTATTAATATAAATCGACATACAAATGCACTTACAGGGTCACTCCACTGCTCCATATGTCTACCTTAAAACCAGAAAACATTTCACAGCCATTTGCAATTTCAGGAGGTTGAAATGCTGGTGAACCTTGCCCCATCTTACACGTGTCATCTTCAGAAAACATATCCAATGCCTAATAGAAAGATACAAAATTGTACAATTTGAACAGTCTATCGTATTGGTAACAGTATTCATTCTGAAATTTTATTATATGAAATCATGAAATTAAAAGGATACTCTAAATTTATGAAGTAGAGTAAACTGAATATGTACCTCTGCAACTCCGAAATCGCTGATCTTTAAGGTACCATCCAAAGCTAGCAATAAATTTCCTGGTTTTATATCTTTGTGTACTATTCCTTTGCTGTAGAGATATTCTAGACCATCCAGTAACTGACGGAAATAGTCATGAGCTTGCCAAATTGGGAGTTTTTTAAATGGTGCGCTTCCCAACATATCCTGTAAAAGATCTAATAAATAGAAATCTAATTGTTGTTAATTCCATGCAGGCCTTTATTCAATATAATATTTCCATAAAGTAAGGTTTTTTCAAGATGTAAAGAATGTGCTTGAATTATTCATTTTTATGTAAAGGTACATTGATATACATCAAGATATTCAGGTTGTTTCATATCTTAAATATACTCATTTTAAATTATTTCTTCTATATTCTCATTTGACATACAATGAAACAAACAAAACTTAAACTATTATTAGGACACGAGTGCTTAAAAATCTTGATTAAAGTGTAAGCCATTATAAAACTACGAATATAATTAAGTATCAATTTGTGCAGATGTACATGTGCAATACATTCTAAAATAAATTATATAAGACTTTCAAACTTTACCTGTAATCCACATACACAAAATTCCATAACTAGGTACATTTTCTCCTTTTCATCATTATACAAAACATCTACAAGGTTAATTACATTCTTATGTTTTAATATCCTTAATAGTTTTATCTCCCTGTTAACGAATGGGAATAAATAGTATTTAGAATTATAGAAAATAATTATATATATGACTTAAGTGAAAGTATATAAGTATTATCTTTACATAACAATCTAGTCTTTTTAGAAGAAAATATTATACAAATTACAAGAATACAGAATGAATCATATTAAATGCATTATTGTATTAAGTATTTACATTTTTTGCCATAAGTTTGTGTTAACAATGATTATATGTATAGTATATACACAATATGATACTGTATAATATATCAAAGTAGATTCCTTTAGTTTTTATTTAGTTTCAAGTATATGTACAATAGAATGTTGATTATCCAACATGTTTTATTTACTATATATAGTAACAAAAGGAAAAGAGCAATTATATCAAATTTGAAGAAACATTAAATATTATAGAACATTTAAAAAGAGGTGAAAGAATCTCTAGTTTAGTTATGGAATGTGTATAATGTGGAAAGTTCATTATTACCAGAATTGAAAATAATGAAAGAGAATAAAATTAATGAAAACCCATAAGTTGAACTAAGAAATGCAAAAATGGACATTACAAAAACAAAATGTTGATAGACCAAAATGCATTGGATATTGCATTAAGATGAACAAACGCGTAAAAGGAAATAGACACTGTTCAAATATCTATTATTTTTCTGTTATTTTATTACATAGATACATAAATTTTCTTTTTAATAGCTTAAGTAATCGACATTCTATTGCATTAACACAAACCTTATGACAGTAGATTCCCATATTTTCTCGTTTCAATTAAATGAGAAATGGTACAACTTAATGCAGATTACACAATTCATTTGGTATCATGGCTATCTTAATAAACTTTGTATTAGGTTGGTACATATGAAATATTATTTTTATTAAAGTTTATAATTTTGTATACAATAATTTGAATGAAATGATAATAAACTGTTATACGACATAAGATACATAAAAGTATTTCATGAAACACTTGCATATTAGATACTGAAAAAATACATTCAGTAGTTGTAAAAGGTTATGTTACAGAAAAAAGTTTTTGATGTAAATCTTCGTAATTAGAACTTGACAGTGTATCATGCTGACAAAAAAAGTATGATCAACTTTTGAAAGAGATTATTCAAATTGGTTCATGTCAACCTAAACAATAGGTACAAAAATATATTGTAAATAAATCGAATAACGTAATATCATAATATAAGGTTTCATTTTGCAATAGCTGAGAACTGAAAAGCATATAAAATTTTAATACAGCTTCCCTACTCCCCTGATATTTCATTACATTTCAAAGACTCTTAGATCGTCTTTTACAAAATAAGAAATCTTTGAATGCTGTGTTTCCAAGACATTTTAATCAATGGAACTACAGATTTTCATTAAATCAGAATTATGAATTAGTTAATCATTAAAACAAATATGAAAAATATATGAAAATTTCAACATGTCACTAAAGTTCAATTGAAATAAAATGTCATTTCACGTGCGCCAACCTAGTACATGTTACTAATGATTGACTTCGTAATAGATTATCGCAAGAATAAGAAAAACGTTAAAAGAGTAGGAAAATTTGTTTATCATACCGTTGAACGTTAAGTTCTCCGTTCGGGATTCTACGAAGTTTCTTCTTTTTTAAAATTTTCACGGCTCTACGACAAAGTGTCTCTGAGTCCATCACTTCTTTCACCTTTCCGTAACTACCTTCACCAAGAACATCACCCATAACATATTTACCGATAAATTTACATTTTTTCTTTTTTTCCTCGTATATAATCTGATCAGAATCCACCCTATGGAAGAACATGTTGATCTCATCCAAATCATAGTTCGGATCATCGTTGATCCACGTGACTGGCTCGATATCCTGGAATATTTCATTGTCGATATCTTCTTCGTCCGGGTCACATATTGTGATCCTATTGTCCATTTTTCACAACGCTAATTGGACTAATGTTACTCGAAGCCACGCAACTTTAACCTAAAACACAACCGGCACCACCATTGTTGTGAATTACAGCTGTATGCCACCACGGTTTGTGATAACAAAGGGATACGATTACAGACCCTCTAATCAGAATCACGAAATAACGTTTCACAATTCTGATTGGTCACCGCCATTTTTCACCTATCTAATAAATATAGTTACACTTTGGTCACGCTTTACAACTGTTTAAAATGCAAATATAACTTGTAGTAGTTTTTAAAATGTTGCATTACGTAGTAATGAACGCGTTACGAAATAAACTCTCAGAGAAGATTTTTATATCGTGACCATATACTTATTAACCATTTTTATCAAGAATGGTTTTCATGAATTATTTCCTTTTTCCAACATTTATCGGAAAATTCTTTAGAAAAACACATTCAATTGTAAATGAAGATGGACGTGGAAAAAATATTTATTTGGTAAGAAAATAAATTGAGGCTTTATCATACAAACATTGCAACACTATGCTTTTCAAATTGAATTTCGCGGGACTTCCTGAAAAATGGCGAAATCTAATGGCGTTTTTTTTATTAATATCTACTTAACGAAGCCCCATCCGACATTTTTGCAAAGGAAAAAGTTGTTTCAAATTACCCCCCGAACCACCCCTTTCAAGGACCTCCAACATTTTTGGGACACCCTGTATATGGTCGAAGTTAAACTCAACGTTATTTTTCGTGACTTTGATTACAGGGTTCCTAAATACGATCATCAGACGAGTTTCAGAACACAAGAATCTTATAAATCTTACAAACTTGTATGTTTCTTTTATTGTATTTCACGTAAAAAGTAAAAATATAAAATATAATACCTACTTAAAGTAAATTTATTGACATGTGCACATGCGTAACTTTGTATTCGAATGCACTTCTTATATGTATTTTAGAAAAAAATTAGTAACAACACGGAGGAATATAAAAAGAAAAATATTTAAATTAACTCTTTGTATACAAAAATTTCATTTACTGATAAATAATACTTATAAAGTATTACTGAAAAATGAAAACTTGTTTAAACTGACTTTTGTTATTGTACATGGTTTTGCATCCTATACTTCTACCTTCAAATTTATACAAATGTATAATGATTACGATATGCTCTTTCTACAGTTATATACAATAAGTAAAAGTATATCGCCTCGTTATTATTAAAAATGGTGTCTCAATTGACAAATTTTCGAGATTCGTGATTTTTTATAAAAATCGTAGAATTCATATAAAATTATACCCTTTAATAAGGGAGACATTTTATACTATACACAGTGAAACACAGATGCGTTGTTTTGTACACTTTGTCAATGATGATGACCAGTTGTAATTAATGCAGGTAAAAGTGAACCCATCACTAAAACTAATATTTCTTTGACTTTGAGTCCAGAAGAAGAGACTGTTACGTTCTCAGAAGTTGGTAAATGGGTGTAGTTGTTATTTCTTGTCATTAATTCTGGTAGCACATGCACAGTTGCAACATATAGGAATGTACCTGCGCTAAACAACATTGCTAAGCCAGTTGCATTGACATTGCTAAGGGTTTCCTTTCCTTCCTAAAACAAAAGTATAACAATTTAAGAAATATCCGAGTATTATTAATTAAATTGTGTAAGCTTGCAAAAGTTTACCTTTCCAATACCAAAATATGTTATAAGAGCAAGGCAAGGTGCAGCAAACGAAAATACTAATAGATGTCTGCTTATTCTTTTTCTATCTACTCCCTCGTGAAGTAAAAATGACACAAGACCAAACGCAGCAGGTGCCTACAAATGTTTTTAACTTATTCATTTAATATAAATTACAAATTTGTATACTATCCTAGATAAACATTCTTATAAAGCTTCATTGGTTTTACCTTATGCAACATTATTGCTAAAAATACAATTAATTCTACATCAGCCTGTGACGTAGTTGCAGCAGCTCCTAATGCTATTCCATCAGCTGCTGCATGAACCACAAGGCCCAAAGTAGCTGTAACGCTCCTTTCCCTTCCTCCGCTCCTTCTAGCTGAACACTGATCAACCAGAAGCATAAATACGAAACCAAGTATTAAAGTAATGCCTATTAAGGAATGAGGTTCATCTAAAAAGACAAAAATCAATAACTATAAAATACATTAAAATTAATCAAGATTAAAATTAAAGTTCTCAATATTTTAATTTGCTATAAAAAAAACTTTTTAATAAATTGATCAGCTGAATTAGTACGTTATAAGATACTAACTGTGTAATCCTTGGTCACTGTTGCTCCCACCAGTAAACAATACTCTTATACCTTCAGGTATAATCACAGCTAGCGCAGTCCCTACAAGAAGTCCAGCACCAAGTATCGAAACCAGATGCAATTTGTCCTAGAAAGATTAAAGGTTCATGATGTTCATGATCATGGAGTTCTTTGTAGGATCTGTAACCAGTAGTTCAAGCGCATGACAATTACAGGAAATGATAGATAAATATCATTTTTTATCCTTTGGTTTATCATGCAATGTAACACAAATTACCTCGGATAAGTTCATCACTAAAGGCAAGGATCCAGCTATACAGGAACCGATCAGCATTACCAAGGAAAGCATCCATAAAACCGAACTTTCTTCCATTTTTTTAATATGTGTGTTTTTGTTATAAAATAAAACGTGTTTGTTTCATCTAATCGGTATGTTCACATCGCTGGTTATGATCGAGCAACAAATTACGTTACATTTGTTAATACAATTCAATTTACGATTAACGTATCCTGTTTAAAAATGCAGATCTTAACAAATATTCCCATTCCCAATCCGTTTTCGTCTACGTAGCAAATTTTCGCGGTGAATACTATGAATATAAAAATGACACGAAAGCAACCCACTTTTACAACCATAGAAGATACAGCGTTAGATGTACCAAAATAAAATTTAACCAAAATTTTCATTCATTCTTTTTATTTTATACCTGGAGAATTCTCTGGAGAAAGCGGACAATAAGAAAATTTCAATTTCAATTAGAAAATTGCTGATTTACTCGAAAATAAGATACTTGTTATTTAGAACATGTTTTTAGACAGACATGAATTAAAGATGGATGATGTTTGACAACATTTGTTCGAGAACTTGAAAATATCTGTAAATTATAATTTATAGGGTCGTATTTTCATAGAAAGTATTTATTTATACAGTCGGTGACTATATGCGAAGAGGTTACCGTTACTGTAGTTACTGAAATTGATGTTCAATATAGAAGTAAGAAGAAAGACAAGAATTTGTTGCTTTCATTCGCGAAATTGCGAGTTTCAGGTCGATTAATTTATTTGATAGATATCGTTTAAAACAATTTCAAATTGGACGAATTACGCTGAATTCGCGAACTTGCGAGAATCGATAGCTGGATAGCACTCTGGCATCAAATTTCATAGAAACTGCCATAACTGTTGTTGGCTGTAGAAAAAGAAAAAGTAAACGAATAATACTTGAACAAGAAATAAATATTATTAATAAATCTTTTTCGGAAATGTTGCGTATCGAACGATTGTAAATCGTTTTACATGAAATGAATATTTACGCTAGGTTTTCCGTTTTCCGTTTTCCGTGGATAGCAAACATTTTTTATAATTTGAACCGTTTCGTTAGATGGCATAGGCATCGAATGATTAGTGGCGCCTCTACTGGAAAAATGAACGTACTAAGCAGTAAGTGATTGGTAACGAGTTGAGTGAGACAAGTGATTAAAAAATGGCATCCGCGACGACGTCGCACAATGAGGTTTCGCAGGACTTTTCTGTCAACAAACTTATCCGCGTTGGTTATTATGAACTGGAGAAAACTATTGGCAAGGGAAATTTTGCTGTTGTTAAAATGGCTACCCACGTCGTAACGAAATCTAAGGTAAGACCGCTGTTATGGCATTTTTCTCACAAACGGGGAATCCGTCATTTTGTCGTTATATCTTTGGATAACGGTCTAGACACGTAAATTTCTCCTTGTTTTACGGATTTTAACGATTTTCTATGTAATAAGAAGATGTCACTGTACAAAGGTATCCAATAAGCTCGAAAAATGTTTCGCAAACCGATATTACCAACAGGCACTGTTACATCGATTTAAATATATTTCTTTGATATTTTTCAAATTATTGCCAGCTATTAGAGGCTGAATATCGTTCTGATTATGAAAGTGCAAGTATTGCGCGATAGTTTATATACAAATTTATATAGTCGATGTATATCTATAGATGTAATATTTTCTTTTAACTTACATTTCGTTTTTCTCGCATTTTTCCCTTTGTATATTTTTCTCTTTTTATGCAAAAATCATTTTGAATGGTACAGTACTATAGTTGAATGATTTGTTTGTTGAATGGAACAGCGAGTGTGCGAAAAGAAATACAATTTTTTTATTTAATAATTCACATATATTCACATGTATTTAAAAATTACTTTAACGAATAAAGAGTATATTATGGGTGTCTTGTTACAATTTTTAATACACTAAATATATCTGTAATGAATTTCAAAATATTTTAAATATATACATATTTTATTACTTATATCATTTCATCCATTTGTGTAATTTTATTATAGCAAGTAAGTTCTGTATACATGTATAATTATTTGATTAATTCGTATTACATTGATATCAATCTTTTTATGATTCATAAATGAACATTACACATATTATAAATTATTGATAGATAGAATCACTATTACACATTTCTGTTGCAGGTGGCTATTAAAATAATTGATAAAACAAAATTGAACGAGGAAAATTTGGCTAAAATTTTTCGCGAAGTACATATAATGAAACGATTAAGGCATCCACATATCATAAGGTTATATCAAGTAATGGAAACAGAAAAGATGATATATTTAGTCACCGAATATGCTCCGGGAGGAGAGATATTTGACCATCTTGTGCGGAATGGAAGAATGCCAGAACCAGAAGCAAGAAGAATATTTCGTCAAATTGTTCTTGCTGTTCGTTATCTCCATCAACAAAGAGTCGTTCATCGAGATCTTAAGGTCTAAACACGTATTGTTGAATATTACAGTATTAAAAATTTAAACAAATAAAGCTAATCTCACACAGTTATATATATTTTTGTCTTAATATTTTAGGCTGAGAATTTACTACTTGATGCAGACAATAATATAAAACTTGCAGACTTTGGATTTAGTAATGAATACACTCCAGGTGTTCCGCTTAGTACCTGGTGTGGATCACCACCTTATGCTGCTCCTGAAATTTTTGAAGGAAAACAGTACGACGGCCCTCGGGCTGATGTATGGGTATGTTACCAATTGCTAAAGCATCGATTTCTATAACACTTTATTCATTTCAATTTGATTACAGAGCCTTGGTGTTGTTTTGTATGTATTGGTTTGTGGTGCATTGCCATTTGATGGACCTACAATGCAACTACTACGCTCCGTAGTGATCTCAGGGAAATTTAGAATACCATTTTTTATGTCTGCAGGTATAAAATGTTGTGCTAGATTTTAATTTTATGTAATTTCAATTCGTTTCAAAATTTAGTGAACTGTAACTTTACGTGCGCTTTAATAACGTATTTGTTTTTGTAGAATGCGAAAAACTGATTAGACATATGTTGGTAGTAGAACCAGAACGACGTTTAAGTATCTCACAGATTTTAGCACACTCCTGGATGGGCGGAGATGGTGTAACAGAACCTGAACCAGGAGGGTACATAGAAATGTTAATGATAATACATTACACTTATGAGGAACAAATTCAAATTGTTATATTGTGAGATTGTTTAATCATCTATTTGTAGGTGTAATTCTGACAATGTGCCACTACAGCTAAATCAGTTAGTAATAGAAAATATGTTAAGATTACCAGGACTTAGTGCAGACACGTTATTAAAAGCAGTTCAAGGGAATGCTTTCGATCATGTATCGGCGATATATAATCTTCTTGTCGATCGATTAGAACCAACAATGCCTAGTTTACCCAGTATTCAAACTATACCAGGAGATTATGCCCCTGATGGAGCACATCAATTAGAAAAGGTAATACTTATTAAATAAATTTATTTCATTTATAATTTTATTTTATAATTCTTTGATTTCTTTTTGCGAAAAGTATGGAGATACAGAAGCAGAAACAGAAGAAAGGAGTGGAATGCAACTAACGCCTGGCACGCCCTATCATACAACAAGAAGACATACAGTTGGACCTGGCGATACAGCGCATCAGCCACCAACACAATATCCATATAATTATAATCACACAACAGGCGATCCAACGCTGCGACTCCTTCCTATACTACAGTGTAATAACACTGATCCTCAGGTGTTACCTCATACAAATTTGCCATTAAACCTTCCTTTAGTCCAACATCAACCTCCTCAAAATTTTCAAATCAAGGATCAGCATTTATTAAAACCACCTCCTGTTATGGGAGCAAGTGAGTAACAACGAATTATTCCAATCTTACAATAATATTTTCTTTACATTTATATATATATATATATATATATATATCTACCTGATTGCAGCTGGAAGTTTTGGAAGAAGAGCTTCGGATGGTGGAGCTAATCTTCATGTCTTCTATCAACAGCATGGCAGTGGTTCTGGTGGTGACGACGGAAATTGGAGTCAACCAGGCAGTAGAGAACACTTGCAACCTGTAAGAAAAATAGTAAAAAAAATATTAAAAACCATTCAAAGTTCGTATTAAAACAAATTTTATATTATCTATAGATTCCAAGTGGAAGTCCAACGCTTGTACCGTGCACGCAGTCATTGAATGTAGGAGTCAATAGCGGAAGTGGCGATACAAATGGCAATAATAGCGGAAGTGGAAGCGGAGGAAGCGATAGAAGAAGACGAAGTGGTCTTACCGCCGTCATGCAAAGACCAGGTACTATTATATTTTTCAGGTATTTGCCTCTACTTTATCGGTGCACATTATTCATCATATTTCATATCTCTGTGAGATTTGATTATTATGATTTGCCATATCGGTTAGCTTAAAAGCTTGATATATTTCTTCGTTTTTAAAGGTGTAAGTATGATCAGTATGCCTTGTTCGTACCTTATAACTCTTACAACATTTATAAATTGGTGTTTTCCTTTTATAGTGTTATATTGCATGAAAAATGTTTTCTTTTTACGAGAAATAAAATAAATCCCTTCTTGATATTAGTAAGAGTTACTTTTATAAAAATTATATTTTTGATCGGTAGATTGGTTATCAATGTATTCGCGTAGTTAAGCACTTTAATTTAAACAATTCTATTTTTACAAGCAGACGAATTTCGTAAACAATGCAACGTTTAATTGATTATTCTGGTTCATTTCGTACAATAAATGTAAATATGTCTTTAGCGTTTTATATCAGTTTATTATTTTTGTAATAACTTTTAATTTTAGCATTCGTATAGCGTTTCATTTGATTTTATTTTTGATTTTGCATGGTTTTTTGTATCCACTGCACTGCCATGCCTCGTTGGTTGGTAATATGCATGTAGTTATAAACCCGGAAATGGTTATGGAGGTGGAAGCTAGGATGAATAGAGCTTACCTTCCATCACGTCTCTTACCAACTCACCTTAGAGGATCAACGCTTCCACACCACAGGAAGACTTCTTTGTACCACAGTAGCACTGGTAATTCTTGTGTGGATTTTTTTTTCTTTTTGCACTTTGCGTAATTCGGAAAATATTTGCTGTACGCTTTGCTGTTATACGCAATTTTAATGGACACATAGTTTAATATTCTACTTTATTGTTTTCAGTAGGCAATAGAGATTCGTATAAGGAACCAAGCACTCATGTTGCTACAGAAAGATACTCACCTGTACGAAGAGCGTCGGAGGGTTCGGGTCCATCTGGACCTGGAATTCAGGCACTTCAGCAGGAATATCAGCAACTGCAAAGGTTAGCGTCTCCATCGCACAGTCCTGCGAGTATACCTGGATCTCCTGTGCACGAAAGAGGGGTAGCAGCAATCACACAAGGTATTCCTAATTCTAAATGCTTGGAAATAATTTATTTAAATTATTCGTAATATTTAATTTCCACAATTTATGTTATTAATAGGTTTGAGTGGACTAACCACAGCAACAGTGCAGGGTAGTATCGTGCATGGTACACCAACACAACCACCAGCAACGCCACTCGATTTGAGCCCGCTAAGGCACCACAGATCGCCAGCTACAACACCAGTTAGTTATTCACCTAGTAATAGCCCAGCTTTGGATATGATTCAAGAAGAACATCCTGTAGAATTACCAAGAGTAAGTAATTTTGAAATGTCACTTAAATAATTTGTATTATTTTTTAAAGAAGGTAGAAACGCTATTTGCTTTTGTAGAATATGAATGTTTCATAGGTATATTACAATTTAATCATTATACGTGCTTGTAAGACAATACAGGGCTTACGTTATATAGACAATATTATTTAACCGTTACAATTTTTAAGAAATTGATTACAATGAAATAATTATTTGTTGTAGGTGCCACCTCAGATATCTATAACAGATCTCGGAGGACAAGTAACACTTATCAGTTGTTCACCATCTCCATCACCGTCACCTGATTCACTCGAAGACACGTTACCTCATTACAATCCTCTTCCCAGCTTCATCATTTCAGAACCGTGTGACCCTTTAAGACCTAGTATAACACGAGGTATTGGTAGGCCCCTAAGTACATCAATACCTACAGAAGTTGAAGTCACTTTGTCGGATGAATCGAGTAGATTGAATTCCGAAGCTATATTGGGCCGTGTGAAACAAATTATAGATGCGAGAGCCCCGCCAAAGGGGTTTATTTTCAATAGAGAAGAAGTGAAAGGTAGCGGGCTTAGTTTAGAATATCCGGGTGGTGTTCAAATCGAACTTAGAGTATGTGAATCCGAAGAGAAAGAAGTAAAAGGCATTAAAATGCGAAGAATTAGTGGGGACCAATTGCAGTACAGTCAACTTTGTCAGCAGCTGATCTCGTGCATTACCGTTTGACGACAACCAGCATATAATATAATCTCTTATACGTTACGTTACATTCCTGGTGCCACACACACCACTCATTACAGTATTGCACACGCATGCTGCATACACACGAGCGGTACTTTAAGCATACCATTCTTTATATTGATACATTCATATGTGTAACATTCAGTGTGCTTCACTTTTGAATGTCGGTTTTTTTTTTTTTTTTTTTTTTTTAAACATATAAATCGAAGAAGAAAAATATTTACGTTTACCTGTGCATAATATGAAGTTGGAACACAAATGTTCTACCAAAAATTTCTTTTAAGGTCTTGGTATTAAGACTTTAATATCCTTGCACAGGCAAGACGATGTTCTGCTATTTTTAAACGATTTAAGTATTAACAAAACAGAACGATTTTCATGAAAGTTTAATCGTAATGTACATCACACACCATTCCTTTTTGTAGAATGTTTGTCTTCGTGTTAGAAGTTCATAGATAGTAAATTCATAATTTACTGTTTAAATCATGATTGGGTGCCCTTTGTAGCTGTAGATAAAGAAAAAGCGTCTTTTGTACTGGATTAGATGGCAAGCATTTTCATAATTCATGTCTTTCTAATGTAGCGGAGATGTTTTATATGGAATTTACTATATTTATTCGATTGCCATTACAAACAATTTTAATTTCATGATATATATTCTATGTTTGTAAATATTCCTCCTACAAAGGCCGAAATCGTTTTTTGTCTTTTTATGTTGATCGGAACTGCAAGATTTGCCTTCTTGTTTCTGGTACAGATACCACCTTTTTGGGTAATTTAATTTTAGTAGCTAGAAATGTATACATAATCTTTATATAGTGCAAACACGTTATTGTGGTTCATAATTCAAAAACTACACAGACTGAGTTACGATTGTATATCTTTCTTTTTTTAAATCATATATTGCGTTTATTGCAGTTTATGAACGAATGATATTTGATTCAGTAATTTCATTATCAACGATTTTACAGATCTTTCAAACCGCAAAGCATTGGTGTAGGGAAAGTATATTTTCCACTTGTTTCGTTTACGAAACATTTAATTGTCACAGTTTAAAAAGGAAAGTGTGCAACATAGCTCTCTTCGTGTAACCAAAGAGTTGAGTTGCTTTTATATTATCGAACATGAAGGGTATAACTTTTATTGTTCATGTTCTGAAAACAAAAAGAAGATATGAGCATCCATAGTAATCGCTAGTTAATGCAAGACGAAATTGTAACTAGGCTGGCACATATTCTTGTTATTATGTTACAATGATTAGACAAAAGACATTATATTAGTGTCGCGTACGAAAGAAATAGATTTCATTTACATAATGTAAACGAGATATTTTTCTAAATTTGCTTGTTTATGAATTAAGCAAAGAAAAAGTTTTTTGCTGATAGTGCAAGTTACAATGTACACTTTGCAGAATACAACTTATATACTTATACTCCATTGCATCCATGCTTTTATTTTTAATTTACTTAAGAAAGTAACACTTCGATAATTTAATTTTCGTTACTTCTACAAACTTAGATATTATATTTTATGTAGTATCTTTGTAATTGATTTTCATATTTCAAAATATTTATGTATAGCGTATTAACTTAAAAATAATGCGCGTTTCGAATATAAGCTGTATCCTGCAAGCAGAATTACATGGTATTGTACATCTAGTACATTTTTTGTTAAGAGTATTTCGATTTCAATCGTGGGTTAATTTGAGTCTGCTGGAAGTAATGATACTTCTGCACTTATGTAAATAACGAAATTTAATGTATATACATGATACGAACTATTTAGAGATCTCTGAAATGTACATTATACAGGCTATTCTATTTGAGTTAACTATTTTTAATACTCTGATTCATTGGATCTTTGTTAATACGCGAACATTCTTACGATATATTTTTTATTATAAATTTTCCTATCAAAATGTGTACATATTGACTATGTATCTTAACGATATTATAATGGTTTAAAGAAACCGAAAATGCGTTCATATTATTTAAATCAAATCGTAAACAAATTTAATTTTTTTCTAATCGTGCGAACAATTTATTTGATTAGTTAGCCAAGTAAGAGTAGCCTTTGAAAATTATGTAATGCCTAATTTCCATAATCTATGAAACAAATAATTAATCGATTCATTGATTGACGTACAATTTTAATAATTTTTTTACTTTTCAACTTTTAATTTTTCGATCCAAATGGCAATTCTAATACATGTACATTTTTACAAGGATCATAATGAATATATATCATTGAATAGTGTAATATATATTAGTAATTCTTTGAAGATTAGCGAACTTGCAATACGAAAACGTTTTTTTTATCAATACAAATGGTATATTTCATTATAGATCAAGGTACTTCTTTTCTAAATTATATTTTTTAGGTCATTTAAAATTTTGTATTAGACTATTTCGTGTATGAATAATAATCATGTTTCGTATACGAAAATCTGGTTTCAGAACTTTTATATAAATTATGATATTATTTTATTTTATTTTAACTGTTCTTTTCATAACATATTCAAATATGTATTTTATGTGAATAAATAGTTCTTTGTCGATGGAAATTAGGCAAGCGATGCTATCGATTACGCACAATAGTGCATACCAATGGAAAGTGTAGATCAACATTATCCAAGCTATTGTACATAATACATTATACATAATTATTTGTTTAGGATACATACAGCGTGTATGTATGCAGAAACAACCTATGTACATTATAAACATTTACTATATGGATAGGATACAGATAGTATTTTCTGCTGTCAATTCTTCAACTAAGACTGTGATTTTTAAATATACTAATGGCTAGATAGATACAATACATATTGATTGAATATGATAAAATATAAATAAAAGAAATATTCAAGATTTCTGTGTTTTCGTTTTAAATACTCCAGCAGCAATTGTTAAGTGTTTTCATTCAACATCCCTTATAAAAAAAAAAAGACATCAGATATTTTAATTGAATATTTTACTCGCATCTTTTTGTAAACTTAATCTCTGTTGTCGTCAAATTTTATTTTTTTCTGAACCGATTATGTATATTTTTTTTACCGTTACCCACTGCAATCGTCCCAGGTCCCAGTCGATAACAGATAATAGAAAGGAAAGCATCGATTTAACCGGCTAACTGTACTGCTTTAAATGTAAATAAAATTGACGAAACAAGCGTTATTTACTAACTTTAGAATTATTCAATTATACGCTGTGTAAATTAATGAAATCAAGCGCGTGAGATTATCGCAACATAAATAGAATGTTGAAATATTTTTATATAGATTAAAATTAAATCGATTTCAAAATACTGTCAAGTAGGTATACGTTTTGTTAGCAAGCTATGTTTAATAATTTATTAATAGAGATTTAATTATTTGCTATTAACAGAAGTCTTCTTATAAATTGTATCGTTTTATACTGAAAATAATTAACTTCCATCCGAATTTGTGCTCATAACCTATATCTTTATATGTTGCTGTTTATTTGTAGTAAATAAACAGAATTTTATTTTACTTATCAGTTTAAAATAAATTCTAAGTTGTAAAAGAGTTATCATATTATTGTTAACGATATTTTACAGAATGGAAGTTATTGAACTTGTGTCTGATGAAGAAAAAGCAGAAGATAATACAAAAGAGAATAAAAATCCTAAAGTTTATAACAGTACTTGTATAAATTTTCAATGTACCTCTGGAGCGGACATGAGATCGGCTCCTTCATTTGCATGTGCATTTTATGGAGTTAATACAGAGAAGAAAAAAACACGTATGATATGCAAAAGTTGTTTTACTGCTGCATTGGATCATCAAAAGGTATGTTATTTTATAAGCATTGAATATTATTTGATAGTTATAACATAATAATAATTTTTATAGCAATTAGTCTCAGCTTTAGTGGATCACAAACCACTACTGAAATGTGAATTTCCGGATCATACAATGGAAGTTGAAATATCTGATAGCGATGATTCAGATGATGAAAAAAAGAAAGATTTGAATGATGAGGGTGAGTTTAAATTAACATAAATTAGATCAATGTAATACGTTGCTATTCTAAAAGATTGGAGTGGTGTTAAAATTAAGTTAATGTAATTATATTCAATTGCAGAAAAGTATATACCCGAAGATATGCTTATTAGTATGGAGGAAATGTTGAACAGTACATTAAAAAATATTCTTACAAAGTATGACGTTGATTATCAAATTCAAGAAGCACACAATGTATTAAAAGAGCAATTCAATAATATAAATGGTACACCACTATTTTGCAGAATACAGACTTAGGCGTATTTATTACATAAATAAGATAATATGGTATACTTTTTAAAACAGAGGAGAATGAAGTTTTGGACAAAACAGTTAGAGACTTGATGCATACTATGGACACATTACGTAATAGTTTATATGACGAATTCAGGCCGCAAATTCAAATGCTTCAAGAACTACAAATCGATGATGTATCTTCGGATAGCGGTTCCTATCCATTGGTGGCAACAAAAAAAGTTACACAAGTACGAGTCTCGCCTTCTGCAGTGCAGGATAATCAACCTGAGATTCTGCCTATCGAACAAGACAATAAACAAGTCATACAATTAAACTTGCCTCCAACTGGTCCACTTGTAAGACCACAAATCGACGTGGATACCATTGTATATATAATGAAGCACCCACTTATGCCGTGGATTAAGGGAAAGGTTAATAAATTAATTTTTATTTATATTTCGTCGCAATTGCGTCATACATTAATATTTATTTTGGAATTTATTAGGTTCAAACTGTAGTTTCAAAGACTCCCTTGCACTGCCGTGTGAAGTTACTGCAAAAAAAGTACAATGCGGTTATTAAGTCTGTTTTCGGTAAGCAAACTGCAGCTGCTATAATTAGTTTAGTTATAATTCCAGTTGGTACACGAGTAGTTGCAGTCTTCCAAGATGTTTCTTCCAGTAATTTTTATAGCGGAGTCATAGCCGAACCGCCGAAAGCCACAAATAAATACAGGTATATTTTTCGTGTGTAATTTTTAATATGTATATAAATATGATTTTAACGCAACAACGTATATTTCCTTTCTTATAATTAGGTATTTGGTATTCTTTGATGATGGGTACGCTCAATACGTCGAGCATGGACACATTTATTTAGTTGCTGAATCTTCTCTCAAGGTTTGGGAAGACATACCAAACGAAACTCGAGATTTTGTGAAGAAATACATCGAGACATATCCCGAAAGACCGATGGTAAAGCTCCAAACAGGCCAAGTGGTAAAAACAGAATGGAACGGCAAGTGGTGGGTTGCCAGGGTAGTACAAGTTGACGCAAGTTTAGTGCAAATGCATTTCGACGCCGATGGGAGGACAGAATGGATCTACAGGGGTTCCACTAGATTAGGACCTCTGTATCTCGAATTCTTAAAGGCCAATATTAGGCAACAAGGACATCACGCGGCTGTTAATACACCAAGTCGACACCGACTTCCTGTTATCTCTAATGTATATAAACTATCTTTTTTCTATTACACTTTTATAAGAAACAATTGAGCAACATAAATTTACTAATATTCCAGAAGAGCAATTTACCTTACGTGGAATATACATCGAACGTAGAGAACGAAGAAGAAAGAGTTTCCCAGGCAGAGAAAGATCTGACTCCCACGTTACCTGAAAGTGCGAGTATACCTGCTTCGATCGCACCGCAACAGACGCGCGCTGTCGCTAGAAAGAGTACTAGTAAAAAGCAAACTATCGTGGATGCAAATACGTATACTCCTACTACGGAAACAAAACCTTCGCACAGTATAGTTGTAAGTATACGGTGTCAAACAATTCATGGAAATGATTTGCGACGATCTGCAACTTAAAATTATAAATTTGTTACAGTATTATCAGACACAAAATAAAATTCAGACAAAGAAATTTGTTCCGCATAAGTGTGGTCCTCAATGCGTTCAGGGTATATCTTTTACACCTGACGATTTAAGAGGATATTCGCCTCTTTCGATACCGTTACTTTGTGGTTGGAATCGTCAGCTATGTAAATATCCTAAAGGAAAAAAAATTACAGTATATCAAGCACCGTGTGGTGTCAGGCTACGAAATATGGAAGAATTGCATCAGTATCTTCGTAAAACGGGTAGTCCAATGTCGGTGGATCTATTTGATTTTGATTATTGGGTACATTGTTTAGCCGAGTTCGTTCTAGACAAGTGTTTTATTAATATAAAGGTAAATATATGAAATTATGAAACTCTGTTTGCAGTTTGCATCATGTAATTATGTTTCCAATTTTAAGGATCTTAGTTATGGTGTGGAAAATGTACCGATACCGTGTGTCAATGAATTAGATCACACTCAGCCAGATACTATAAGATACAGTACTCAAAGAGAACCGACGGAAGGCGTTAACCTCAATTTAGATCCAAGCTTTTTGTGTAGTTGCGATTGCGAAGATGATTGCGAAGTATGTTTATTCAAACGAAGCAACATACGAATCTTATTTGCATTTTACTTTACTTTACTGATATTATTTCACAGGATAAAACAAAGTGTCAGTGTTGGCAATTAACTATACAAGGCGCTACTCTTGGAGGTAGAGTACCTAACACGTCTGTTGGTTACGTGTACAAACGTTTACCGGAACCAGTAACTACTGGAATTTACGAATGTAATTCAGGATGTAAATGCGCTGTTAAAACTTGCCTTAATAGAGTAGTGCAACATCCATTAACATTAAAACTGCAAGTATTCAAAACTGCTCCTCGAGGTTGGGGTATACGGTGCCTAAACGATATTCCTCTTGGATCTTTTATTTGTATATATGCTGGTAGATTACTTACAGAACAGGTACTCGCAGTAAAAAAGTATAATAGGAGATATTATTTAAATAGAAATATACTAAAATTTTAATATTTTCTTATATTATAGGGAGCCAACGAAGGTGGTAAAAATTATGGAGATGAATATCTTGCCGAATTGGATTATGTTGAAGTAGTGGAAGGAATTAAAGAAGGTTATGAAAGCGATGTTCTCGAGCCAGAAATGCCGATATCTACTCCCGAAGACAAAAAGAAATCAATTACGAGCGACGATGAAGATAACACGAAAACAAATGGCAATGATTCGGATGAAGATTTCGATATCACTAAATATGCAAATTTCAATGTAGATTCTACGGAACCTTCTTCGATTAGGTAAGCAAAGAAAGTTTAATCAATAATAGAGCAAAATATTGTACGATATTAGAACTTACTACCGTATTACGGTAACGTTTTAGAAAACGGCTTAGGAAACGAAAACGAGGCGAACCCAACAACCTTGACGGATCTGAAGAAAACAGCGAAGATGGTAATAGTACTAAAAATTCCGAAACACTCGCGAAAGCCCTTGTCATCGAGAATCGTTCGACCGAGCACGATACGATCACGATAAGCGACGAAGAAGAAACCAGAAGTGGTCGACGTGAACCAAGCAGATTCGAGCCAACAGTAGAGCCAGCACAATTAGAAAGACCTACATTTAAATCGGTAAGAGACTTTTTCGGAGAGGATGAGGCTGTTTATATAATGGACGCTAAAACAACTGGAAATATTGGACGCTATCTAAATGTAAGTAAGATGTGGTTTAATCGCAATTTATTCAATTCTTTATTGTCGTTATCGAATGGTTAGTTCGTAATATAAAAGATCCTAAGATATAATATAAACATTTGTTGTTCAATGTAAACATTTCAGCATTCCTGTGATCCAAACGTATTCGTGCAAAATGTGTTTGTTGATACGCACGATGTTAGGTTTCCTTGGGTCGCATTTTTTGCTTTAAATTACATTAGAGCGGGCCAAGAATTGACATGGAATTACAGCTATGATGTTGGAAGTATACCAGGGAAGGTTATTATTTGCAAGTGTGGCGCGTCTAACTGCAGAGGTCGACTTTTATAATCTTTACATAGGAATAATAAAATTAGGGTCTATAAATGTAGTTGTCTTTTTTTTAAATATACATTCTACAGTATTAAATTATACACGATATTAAATAAAGTACATTGTTTATTATTAGAAGATATGTTTATAATTAATTTTAATTAATAATGACAATGTATTTCACATTTGATCGTAACACGGATGTAAACATTTTTCATGCATATTTTTTACTTATGAGCATAAAATTTACGAGAAAATTCTTTTCACGATGTTTCTGTTGTATTTATTGTTCGCTAAAATATAAGTTACTTTACAAGCTAAAGTAGACCTGTGGAATGGAATAAAGTTTATTGGATTTTAGACATTTTAACGTTTCTTCCTGAGATCGTTTTAACATTCTATTACGGTAAATTTTATGTAGCTATAAAAAACATAAGTTTTCTGTGGATATATATACGCTTTAGGACCATCGAATCTAATACAGCCTTTGTATTTTTAGTAATTGACATTGGATAAATAAATTTTGGCAACATTTGGTAATCGATATCGAATTAAATAAATGATAAATTCGGGTTTAATAAAGTACAACAGCATACATAACAATAATGCATTGGCTTATTATTTTTGATTATTGTACACCTTTAAAACCTCTTGCGACATGTCAGGTAATTAGTACCATAAAGATAGCTTTTTAATCTCATTCTATAATTTATACATGTCTTCTTTGAAAATCAGTTAAATTATATATGTACTTCTCGAATCTAGTAATGAATATTTTGTATATTTATAATTTCCTTGTAAAAAAATTAAAATTAAAGCTGAATTATTGTTTTAATTGTAGTTTATAAAAAAATGTATAAAAAGAATTCGTAACATTCATAAATTAATAACAAATATTTAAACTACGATGCTGCTTCTTACGAATGTATCAAAATATCTTTTGCTATATGTAGTTACATGCTTTAAAAATAAATTTGTTCCTGTCGGTTGTATAGAAGAACCTGTACGATACGCTACTTTAAAGCTGAAATTATACGTATTTCGCATCCCTAAGAATAACCACATAAGAATATGAGTTGATGATTATATGCTCCAGATGTGCAATATATTATTATAAAATGACATTTGTGTATCTATATTCTTTTAATTTAAAGTGCATAAATATGATAGTCTAGTCATATGCAAGAAATTAAGACAAAGCAATCGTGATACTCCTATGAGGAACATTAAAATACTAAAATAAAAAAATTATCGCTCTGTATGTTGTTTGGCTTTATGCTAGTAAAGTTTAAGCAGCTGTTTGATTTCTTCTTTCTCTGCAGCTTCCAAGTAACTGGCTCCATTTGGCGTTAATCCATCTGGTTTAGCTCCTTTTTCTAACAATAATTTTACACAATGCGTATGTCCTTCCCAAATTGCTGCTAATAATGTTGTTATACCATGCTTGTCTGTAGCCTGTACATAAATATATCGTATCATTTTTTTCTGTAGGACTCGTTCCAAATAGTGTGTCAACCATTGACACAAGCGAATAAGTTGATTTTTACTTTGATATTAGCTGATGCAAAAATCATAATAAAAATTGAACAATTTACGTTTCTATCACGTGTAACGATTAAACACTTGAAACATATTTACATTTGCATTTGCACCCTTTTCCAAAAGGTATTTGACCACTTCGCTTTGGCCATAGTCAGCTGCATAATGCAGAGGTGGTCTTCCGTCGATCATTTGATTAACGTCAATATTCTATCAACAGAAATATATTTACATGGGTTAGTACGCATTCGAACGCAAGAAAAATGCATGTGTTGCTTTCGATAAGAATCTACAATCTTTGTATCCGTCACTTTGACAGATCAACGACAATTTGCCGTACAAAATAGATTTATCGAAAGATTCGCGAACGTAGCAACAAATGCCAAGAAAGGTATCAGTGTAACGTTTAATGATTAGCCGACAATTAAAAAGCGACGAAAGAAAAGAGGTGATTTAACGTTTTATATTTGCCTTATTCTCAACGATATCCCACACTTGCTCCAAATCACCATTTTTTATCGCCCAAACGAGCTCGCTCATCTTCGTTAAGGACTACTGGAAGATTCCTTGGTAGAACGCACAGTCTCTCGAACGTTCACGTTTATTCCAATCAATTCACGGTTCTTGTACTCACGTCCATTAAATTTGGTTAAATAGCGAATGTTGCTGGAGGAATATTTCGGTGCTGCCAACATGTGCAACAGTAAAACGAAATGTTCGTTTCTCCGTTTACGATACCAACATCGAGGACGATACAATCAAGTTAGATGATTGGATGCTTTCGTTCGAAAATTGTAAAGGAAGCATTTAAAAAATGCGGAAAATAAAGAGGTGTTACGCTGATAATCTACGTTATCTAACCAATACAAGGTTCGTATAAACTGATATAAATTTGTAGATTTATAGATTTATAGATTTATAGGTCCCTTGAAAGTGTTTATAAAGAAAATTAAAGTGTCAAGATTGAATTACATCATTGAAGTCTAAAGGAATTGCCAAGAGATATCTTCATTTTCTTCAATTTTCCAGACTACCTGTTTGTCATGATTGCAAAGTAGAAACCACCCTTAAGTTACTTACTAGCGTGGAAAGCGCGGCGCGAAAGGTATGTACCGATGGATCTTTAATTAAATATATATTTATTTAATTACATATAATTACAATCACACATGTTTTTACATTACATACGTAGAACTGTCAATTTTCAGAAAATGAAAGAAAATTAGTTCTCTATTGGGTAATCGTTACAAGCGAAATTAAGGACGGTAGCATCTAAATCTCATTTCCGGGACTAGGAGACTGAGTAGGACACGATCATGTGAAACAATGCCGATTTTCTGACATTAAGGGACCCTTGGTTTTTCTTCCGTACAAATTTCATTTTTAATTTAGAATCACGTTGAAGGGTAATAGGAAGTTGCGATGGTAGTATGCCTCCTCGCGATGAAATAATATGCATCGATGCGCAACATATGTTGCGTTTTCGTTTTAGGTATGAATTTCTATCCCAACAATGCAATGCTTTTCTCTTAAATAAATTTCATCAACAACTATTTTTCCAGACAAATTTCTTCAATCTTATACTCTCTTCAATTTTCAGTGAATCGGTACTTTTGTTTGATGTCAATTTTGTTTTTTCTTCCTGGAGGTTCCTCAAGATCGAATAAGGGTGAAATTGTTAATGCTATGAAAGAGAAATGATGTAATTCACGCTAAACCTAGCACATAGGTTTTTTCGTATCTTTTATATGATTTCGTCTATTATCGAATTCAGTATTATGTAAGATACCTTTGCAAAAGACCAGTTACTTGACAGATCGCGATAGAAATAGATACAAATGAAAGGTCGGTAGGTTTAGCGTTAACTTCGTTGACATATTGTTTCTATGGTCATTGCACGTTTTTGCTGTTTGGTTGACTATTCAACAAAGGTTCGATTATGTTTGTAGAGGCCACGCATCCTGTGTTTAGAGTTAAGCTTTCGGTGGAGCAGCCTTCGGGGAGTTGTCAGCTTCAACGATCTTTGTTGGTGGCGGTAAAGTTGGGATCTCTGGGTACTCGAGCTTCGCCCCCTCTTCGCATTCGAATTGCGGACAACAGTCTGGGAATGGAGCGGTCTTGTTGGTCTTCTCTGAGAGCTTGCATTTCGGGTTGGCTATCGGCAGGGGCCCGCAGTCTTCCACCAGCTCGAACAAGCGGCCAGTACCCTCATCGTCCGGCACGCAAGTGGAACGTCCGCAGAACGGCGACAGATCCCAAGTTTTTCCTGGCTCGATGGTTGCGCATTTCGTCGATGCGAAGCACATGCCAGGGAAATCTACAATAAAACATGTATTATTAATAATAATAACGATACACATACATCATATACATGATATACATATGTATAGCATGTTCAGTCTTTATATCTGTATATCTATCGAAGAAAGTCACGCGTGTAAAGTTTATTCGTGTAGACCAACTTCTACAATAGACGCGGAGGGTGCGAATACTTGAGGAGATTGGCTGTATAAAGAAAGTGAGAAAAAATGGAATCCATCGTAATCCACATTGTATAGGAAAGAGATGCGAATGTACATCGTTTTCATTTCTCCTAAAATGGCATTTCAGGTGAATCAGCATGACGATGCAAAAGTAAAATCTCATTTTACGACGGACAACAACTCGTGCAGCTTGCATTTTCCTCGACGAGTGCATTGTCCACATACAGAGTTACGCACCCGTGAAAGGTGTCGTTACTTTCTAATGTGCCTAGATACACGCGCGTTTCTAGCCGTACTGTTTACACGATACGCGTCTTCTGATGTACCCATACAGAGAAGCGGGTGAAAAAGGAATTCTACTGTGTAACACGTCCTAATGTGTTAGAAGCACAAGGGAGAAGTTTCGTCGGCGGTGATTCGCGGACTGGAAACTCCAAGGAGAAACACTTTCACTGTCACGACTCTTGTGCAATTATCGCGAACACTCGTTGAATTTATCGTCGTGCTTCCAACATTCTTCCTAGTTTTATTTTACGACTCGCAAGCTCGCGATTACGAAAATACCAAGCATTATGTAAGGGTATGCGAACCTATCGTTACATTAGATAGTGTAACTTTAGAACCATGTAATTTATTGTAATTATACATGACTTTATCCTTTCTGTACATTTAGATATCGAGGGGCCTTAGATGGCTGTAGATTAACAACGATACCAGCGAAACGAACGTCATCGCGTATCATTGGGAAGAAAACCACTTCAGGAAGCGGTAGAACATGATTCATAACGGACTTGTACACTTTCACCGACATTAAGATTCGTCTGCTTGCAAGGGTCAGCTTTCGTATCAGTACGCTGTTTCTTTTTTCGAAGGAGTCAAGTCTTCATGGCGCACCTCTTCTAGCACGTCCAAGATTCGCTCTCAAACGTTAAAGTATTCCTCTGAATGTCTATTCTTCTGAAAAGCGGAAGTTTATTGGTATACGATCTCAACAATGACCATTACTAACAATTAGCCATCAGTACGTAAGAATTAATATTGGAAATAGAAACTAAAGACGCGTTCGAGTCTCCTGATTGTACGAATACAAGCATCTCATTGCGATGCATATATGGACGCTACTAATTAACCGAGAGTTCGTGATAAGGGATAATTATACCTCTCATCGTTTATTTATCCGATTAACAAATAGCTAAGGCTGTCAATCCTTTTGATAAGCATCCGATGTTTTCATCTAATGACGTGTTATTTGTTGTGACGCAGTCGCGCGTGTCGCGTTTAGAAAGACTTCTGTTACGGGGAATTAATCAGGGGATAAAGTAGCCTCGAGCCTATCGTGTAATCACGAAATTACACGACACGGGACATTCGAAGGGTAAACGATTCGCTTGAAACTATACAATCAGGAACGTGCAATCGTCTTGATTCGTGGCCTCGCTTTCGTCACCGACCACCCAGCCCAGGGTTCTACTTTCTGCGATCATCCTGACCCGAAACGGGTACGATACGGCCAGACCGTGTTCGTGACTGAGAAACTTAACTTGCCTCAGTTAACTTGGATAGCCAAGTTAAATGAATGTCGTTGTAACATTCTGTTTATTTGAAGACGAACATCATAGTTATTTGGACAGATTACGTGTATGCTGACGATCAAAATCTGAAAGTGGTCTGATCTAAAAGATTGCCAACGAAACCTGTAATATTTGCCACTAAAGGAAACCTTCATGTTAGTTTGAATTGTCTTAATAATAAGAATGTACCAATTGTTTGTCAAAGTATTATAGTCTCTATTTATTTTAGATTCCGTAAGGACTAACATCGTTGGAAACGTCCAGCTATGATAGCCGGTGTCCAATTGCAAAAATCGACTGAATCGATCCATCCAACCACCTGTTCAAATTTCGCAACGCGAGCTCGTCTCGTTATCCTTATTTTGCGCGCGTACAAGTAGCATGTAATCGGTGCACGAGGCACGCGACAACGGACATAAACGTACCTAATACCGTGTTCGGGCCTGAAGCGATCCAGTCGTGGACCGATTCGATTATTCATCGGTATCTAGGTACGGAGTAAAACATACGGAATATCTGGGCCATGGTGCTTGCGGCCTGATCCACGATACCGTGTGAATCAGAATGGGCAAGGACGCTGTCGAAGAACGTTCGTTGATTAATTAACCGCGACAACCAGTTCAGGCGTACTGGAAAAAAGCGAGCGTTGATAATTCACTGATTGTGAGATAAACACCTGTAGCGAAATAACTACGCTAGAGTTTATTCGCTCGTGATTTCCGCGAGATAAGGCGCATTATAATTCGCTTCCTATTCCGTTACGTATTTACGCGCTTCAAGCGTCATCATAGGCGATAATTAGTCACAATGAACTGCGTTTCATTGTGAAATAAAAGTAGGGCGACACGAATAACTCTGTTATAAAAAAGAAACGTTATGATAAGGAATATGTTAATGTCGCGAGATAGGAAATGGATGCAAGACACAAAGGAAACAGGGCTAAAAGAAAAACGAGATAAATAATCTTGTCGATTGAGAAACAGTTAAGGACGCGTAAAATGATTCACGCGCTAGGAGTAACAAAGACGCTAAATTCTTCTGATCAAACTTGGAACTGATTTGTATCGATCGATCGATCGACCTCGAATCTACGAAAGATGTTGTTCAACGCCTCGTAACGCGATTAATTCCAGGTTGCGGGCGCGGATTTCGTAAAAGGTAATTTACCTTGAAGCCGGAGCTGCGACCGTCGCGTCGATGCAGGGCGTGCCGTATAAAGAAGAACCGAGTCGAGAAACGAAGCGAATCAGGTTGCGGGGATACTTATGGTCAGAACAAACGAGAGTTACACCATGAAAACTTTCACGCTGGTCCCGATGATCTTGACTACCGTTTCCTATTTATTCGAGCGCGTGTCAGCTCGAAATTGTACGTAACGGTGAATCAGGATCTACGGACACGCTTGTCGCCGGGAACAAATCATTGTTTCTTCGAAATGAGGGAAAAAAGAGAAGAATGTGTTTATCTTACGTTAGAAACGGTCTCGGTTCGATGGACGAGACACGACAGCCAAGTATAATGGTAGGGTGAAAAGCGTCTCGTTTTCAAGGCTCTCCTTTAATTGTGAATGGAAAGCTGTAAAAGCAGGAATTGCGGTTGGAATTAATGAAACTGCGCTCAACTGGCTTATTGATGAGGCGAGAGTCGATCGAACAGGTGGAAGTCGCGAATGAAATTAAACCAGAACTGGCAGATGATCGCGATTCTGTTGTAAATTGCGCTCGAATGGTTTATAGACGAGGCGAGAGTCGGACCGACGCGAGGAGAAATTGGTACCTGAATTATACTAGACGATTTCGACTTGGAATTTATTTGAAAGTTGGTGGTGCTACGAGTTATTATGTATAAATCAGCTCTCGATGATTATGCACTCGAGACTTTTAAAATGTAAGTTAATTAGAGAACAGATTCTGGAGGAGGTGTATAAGGTTTTTTTTTTAGATAGTGACGTATGCGCTTTCGGTCATTTTCTTTTTACAATGAGTCGTCATTCTGAGAAAGCTGAGTGTCTTCGCAAAGTCGTAGAGTAGTCAAAAATGGCCTACTTTCGATACACTTATGCACGCATGGTTCCCTCGATTCGACCAAAGTACTTTGATGTTCATGCACAGAATAGGAGAGCTAGAAGTTGACTTGCGAAGAAGACTTACAAAACCCAACATTTTCCGTACATTTTTTATATTATTTATACTCATATTCAAGGGGTGAAGTATTTTGCTACTCTCAGACTCGTCGCATTTATAACAGTAATAATAATTATGCTACAGTGAACAGAGGAGCTAGACGACGAGGAGGCTCGCGACGTTGAGAATTGAACAAATTTTGAAATAACGCACGCCATCAAGGTAGTCAGTCGATTCTCGACACAAAACCGTTCTTCATTGGAGCCATAACTACATATAACGAAAAATGAGTACTTTTCAAGAATTACTCCCAATTTTATACAGATTAAACCTTTTTTATTTAAAAGAATCTATATTATTCTTAATGGGTGATTTCACCCTCTCAAATTGTTGATGGCACCCAACCAATAATTGTTCCGTGTTACAGATGAAGTCTTCGACATGCATGCGATATCTCGATATTTTTTTCATGAATTTTCAAGTGAACTTTTTTGAAATCTTGATAAAATTCTAGAGATGGAGACTCACCGCGAAGAACGTCGGCAGGGATGAGCCTTCTGAACGTCTTGGGACGTTCTTCATCCTTCTCTTCGGCGGCGAAGACAACCGCGACAACGAGCAACAAGATCGGAACGAGCTTCATGGTCTCAGGACGATGCGGATAGGGAGGAGAGCAAATCCGAGCCTATCGAAGTAAGAAGGGAAAAAAGAGCCTTCGTGTACCGATTAAGACTGGTTGGGTCCGATTCTTGTGTCGGCATTTTATAGCCGTCCACGGGGCGGGGTCCTGTTGTCCCCACCAGACATTATGGTCTCTCACCTCTTGAACCACTAGTCACCAAAGTATCGTTCCCATCCGTAGCTCGACCGTCGAGCTTCTCTCATGTGTGTACACATGTACACCTCATCGGTACATAGGCTATGTCGCGTATGCAGTAGCGCATTATCCTGTACTCGAAATAGACATCTGTCTGGTCTCTTTCAAACTTATTGTTATTATTAGTTTAGAATATATAAGTAGCGATACGCTTTTGGTATACACCATGCAACTTTTTTCTTCATAAAAGACAGACTTAGAAGGCAACATACCGCTAACATACAGATAGACAAAAACAATCATTATGCAAAATTAACACAGCATACAAAGCATGAAATACCTGCTGTAAGTCGTCAATATTAAGTGTACCACCTACAAGTTACCATTCCAGGCTAAATCTCTCTCTCGTGTCGCGCAATTTGTTCCCGTTTGTTCTCCGTCTCAATAAGACGAGACTACGTTCAAAAATCTCCTCTGTCTTTAAATTGGGCCCCCAAAATTCCATTTCGCCTTGGGCACCACGAAAGCGTAACGCGTCACTGCGTGTATGTATGTATCCGTTCTCCACACTCTGAAAATATGTAAATCGAATTGGATCCACGACCAATGCATTCCGCTTGTCCGCGATACATATGACAAAGTGGGTTACCGGTTCGGATCACACTCACAGTTTTTTTTCTTTCTTCTACTACTTCTCTCTCGGTCCCGTCTTTCGGCCCGTGCAATCGCGAAGCGCCACTTTCGTTCCCGTAATTAAACTAAATTTATTCGCACGGAACACCGAGTCGGATAGATGCAAATCGAGCGGTGCGCGTACAATGTAATCTCGCGTTTGCATCGCCAAGGCTTTCCACGATCGAGTGTTGTTATAATTTATCCGCTTGTGCCCACTTTGCCGCGGGCAAACAAAGGCGATCGACGACACTCGTGGACGCGTCACGCGACTCGAAGCTTATTGCACAAGGAAGAGAGCCTGGGCGAACTCGTTTTCCCTTTCGTCCCTCATTTTGTTGTACACGCTTGTTTCTACGTGTGAACTTTATAATATCTCATGTAGAACATGAACAGAATTCAAGTTGCGAAGAACGAATGGTTGTAAGTTCAGCGAACCCGAGATTCCTGCGGATAATGTTAACTTTGCACCTGTGCGCTACCTTTGCAGCGATTCTAATATAATTCGATTATAATTTTATGAGATGGAAAATCTCTTCTAGGTTTCTATGCGAAAATAACAAGTAATGCTTGCGGTAGCCAAAGCTTTGTTACGCCTCGCTTCTTGGTTACAAGATCAGATTTACTTTTCTAAATGAAACTTTCGACCACGTTGAAATGTTTCCATCGCGTCAGACGATTACAGACGCTAGTAAAAGCGTATCGCCGCGCCGCGCCGCGAGCCTAATGACCACCAATTAGGATACCCGCGTGTTCGTAGGGTTAATACAGAAGCTTCGATGGCGATCGTATGTACCTGGTTGGGCCACCGTTTGTAGTCAACTTTCGCTGTTTCTAAAGTTATTACATCTCTTCGATTAACAGCGTTCGGTTTTACATGCGGTTGTTCAGCAGAAGTAATAACAATGGCGTTCCGGGCCATTTGAGCCATTCTAACAAGTAGGAAGGAATTAAGATTTGCATAATAAGTTCACGCAAGACAATCGTTAATGCCATTTGCGTTAATGGTAATAGAACTTGGAATTGGATTAGTTCTTTCTACTTAGATCAACGGTGTCGACGATTAGCGATTAGCGCTGTTAAAAGACCTATTTGGCGCTTCATTATTCCGAAGTTACCGTAATTACGAGCAATATCGAAAGAAAAATGGCTAGTTCTACTTTAGGAGCGGTGAAAGTAACAGATGCTCGCCTTAAATGTCAGTTCAATGACAATGTGGTAGCGAGAAACGTGGCGATCATCCATAATTATACAATATATACTATTGTCAACAATTACGACAGGCGTAAAAACCAGCGTTAAAAAATGATTATACGCGTGTACAGTTTTGCCAGAATGCCTGGTAAAGTGAAGTAACAAGTACACCATATACTTCGTAACTGTAGTAAACAATAGCCTATCGTGATCAGATAAATGAAATTAGGATTGCATAAAGGCGGAAGGAAAGGCAATATTCGTTGCAAAATTAAACTACTTTTAATTAAAAGAAGAAATTTGTTGCTCTATGAATGAATTGAATGTGTACGAAGGTAATTGTTTGTATATGTGGAGCTAGGCTCTATCCCTTAGTCACATTAATTCGCGATTACTCCGGTCGAAAGTCAATTACCCTCGTACGGATCTGATTTATCCTATGAACTTTCTAGACACTTTCGCAAAACTGTAGCCGTAGACAAACTGTGCTCATAACTCTCGCAGAAAGCGTTCCCGTACACGTGTTTGCGCGACTTCCATCGAAGCAAGTACAATAATGCTCGTCTGAATCCCGTTTTCTCTAACCCGTTAGAATTTCATTTAAGAATCGACCAATTGCTTCGAATGAAACGCCCGATTGGAAACATTTAATCAATTGTGTCTCATTCGTCTGGGGCTCTAATTTAGCAAGATGAAATCATCAGGCGCTCTATGATGCGGTAAAATCGTTTGGTAGGAAAGCGAAGAAGAAAGGGAAAGTTGCTTCGCTAGTATCCTTGCTCCAGGTGAAGCGACTGTAACCTTCTGAATCACCGGTTCGGAGCAAGTTCGTGTTATTCCAAGCGTTAAAATCTGTCATCTCTGCGTGGACGTCGTTTTTGGCCGGGCAAAGCCGTCAACAATCGTGCTGCTCTCTTCCTGGAAACCGAATTTTTGACTCGTTCGAGGAATTACGTCGGGCCTCGAATATTTTCGGGACCTTCGAATCGACAAATAATGATTAATGGACCGAACAAATATTATCTTCGTTCGTAACAAAGTACAGAGAAAGTTTGCACCTGAATATTATATAGAAAAATAGTAATTGTAATATTTCTTGAATTCTTTTTTAGTTTTACTATCTGGATCTTTGTTGGAAGCCTGAGAACTCAGGTCTGGAGATGAACCAGACCATCAGAAATGCTGATGACGAACTTGGGATCACCAAACTCCTGAGATGATGCGTAATCCATCACTAGTGTTATAAAAAATTTCCAAGGTGGATTGTTTGTTCGATGTTTATTCTTCTTTTCGTTATAATGGAAGAATACTACAAGCATTTATCTTTAGTCGGACGCTTCGTGTTTTTATTTGGTCTGGCTCAGTCAATTGGTGAGTTTTTACACTTTGTTTACGTCCTCTTATTTATATTTCAAACTATTAATTTATTCCTATTTTGACTCGGTCTTTCTTTTTAGCATAACCAGTCCCAGCCACAGAAACGATACATCACACGGATAACGTAAGCAGTAACTAACAATAAGAAAAAGATGGAAGCTACTTTATCACGATAATATAACTTGTTCGTGGAAGATACCATTATCGAACAGAGAAAGTCTTCTACTAGTATGATCCAGGTTTCGATGATTAGAATGTTACTTTACGTCTTAATTGCAAACGATTTTTAATTATCGCCCGTGGTTTCTATTTGATGTGCAGAAACGTGATAAAGATTTCTATCGCGCGTTTCACTTTCACCGCTACATTCTATGATCAATTTTCTAGGTAAAAGATTAATTCAAAGAAACTCTTTTTTCATTTATGCTTATCCATATTGTTTCAAGCTTGATATCGGACGATGGTACTGGCACTATACCGAGAACTTATGTTACAGAGTGTTAACGCCCCAGCGCGTCCATTCGACAGGATTGTTGATATTCCGATGATATCATTTCCAATCTTCCTCTCATCGTCCGATTTCACCTGCGACTGCGTCTTTATCGTTGCCAAAGCTTCCTCCGATGATTCCTTCTCTCGCTTTCTCTTCCAACGACTCTTCGCTGATCGCGAGTTTCTCCCCAATCGCCAACGAAAACGCTGATGACGTTTAGACCTCGGTCGCGTGCAAGAAGAGGAGAAACTCGCCACGGACGAATCACAACCGCCGACTTGAGCGGACCCAGACAACATTTTCCGTCAACTGGTGAAACCCCTGATGTTGTTTATTATAGCTTCGTATATACAACGTGTAAAATTAGAGTCCTACGGTTTCCTCGAGTAGTTCTTCCAACGTTGAGTCTCCTGTGGTAGATGGTAGAACATGATCAATGGTCCCTGGTATATAGACGGTTATAAACATTATTTAGGCTTCTGTTTTAGGTTCCTAAAAGGTAATCCTTCGTTACTGCAACATGGATTAATAGTAGACCAGTGGATGGTCGCCAAGTAACAAGGATTGCAGGAGGTATGCAGAGCTACTGCTCATTATATTTCATCCTTTTATCCAATCTGCTCTAGTCTCCAAGTACATTCTTCTCTTAGTTTCAGTTTTACTATACTCTGCCGTTTTAATACCAGCAAGAATTCCATTGCGTAAACGCGCAGCTACCCCGTACCATGTTCCTGTTGCTCGTACAAGCAAAACAAATGGGATTTCATGCCGGATATAAGGATGATGTAATTTTCAACAGCCGAGTTAACCGGACATGGTTGCATTTCGGCATTAATGCGAGCAGCACAGTGATCCACTTCAATTATATCGTAACACGCGTGGATACATACGCACGCACACTTTGTGAAAGGAAACTTCTTTTGGAGCTTATAACGTGTGCGTTCTAGAATTAACGGAAACCTCTTATGTTCTCTCTTGCGCGGCGTAGTAACTTTTAACCAAAGCAGTTATTGTAGCTTTTTAACAATAAACAAAAATTAGAAACATTAATCTCATTTCATATGATGTAGCGTTAATGGAATATTTTGTCCGATAAAAGTACGTTATACTTAAAAATTAATTAAAAAAAGAAACTACGTACCATATAGTGTTTTAGAAAATGAAACGAGTCGAGGAGGGTCCGTATTACCGAATAGAAGGATCTCGTCGTCTCCGTTAACTGGGACAACCGCTACACATTATCTAACCGGACATAAGACAAAGGGGCAGGCTTCCAAAATTTTATCTCACGCGATGCGTCACGCGGCCTCGCTACGTCGTTCTCTACTCCTCCCTGATCGGCGATCGTGGAAAGGTGAAAGCAGATCGCGTGGAATAATCCTTGAATAGTCGCGACGATTCTTTTTTTTTTTCTTCTCTCACTTTAGCCAGCAGACACAAAGGTGCCGCGTGAAATCACAACCAAGAAAACGATGTCGCAACAGGCGACAAGCTCATTAGAATCTCCCCTCCTGATGTTACGCGTCGATGAACTCTCTCGATACATATAACTTTCAGTTAGAAAGAAATGAAAAGTAGCGTATACATAAAAATTAAACTAACAAAAACAAAAGTTTACGATGCAGCGATATTTTCGTATTTTATTAGTAGAAATCGTCAGGGAACGAAATGTTATTTACTACTTTGGGATATCAGAATGGCCAGTTTGTATATAAAAAATATTTTCTTGTACTAGATTCTAAAATTATTATTTCGCTGTCGAAGGGTTAACGACCCTTGCCACTGCCTGCACTAATAACTACGTTATTACTCGCAATTATTCGCGATAATTTAGTTGCGAGAAACAATTGAAACTGTTTTCATTGCACCAGCCAACCAGATAAAACCATGCCCATCCTCTTCCGGTTCGCCTGGTCCCCGTTATTCTTTCGCTGGACTTTGGGTACGTTGAACAATGGTTAATATACCGTTGCGATACCTCAATTATCACTGCAAGCTATCATAGCAATCGCTCTACGCGAGTGAAATTGTTTCCAAGTTTACATGGAAAAGACTTAACGCACTTGAGCCCTCCCACTTACATCCTCCATTGATCGTAGTTACTTGTATGTACATATAATAAAATTGATAATAAATAATAAAATTACTCTTCTGTGAATTAATTTACATTTTTAATTAGCACTCACAATTGCTAAATACTTGCTGAATACAGCAAGACATAACTGGCTGTATAATTAAAAATCTAATCTGATTGTAAGTAAAGTGTACGTGGGTGCAGCAAGCAGTTTTCCATAGAACAGAACGAACGGTGATGGAACTTTTTCCCACGAGGTGTTTTTCTAAACTTCAGTGTCAGCAATGCATAATGGTTGGAGACTAAAACTGTTTTATTCCACTTTTTCTTATACCAAGGCCACGCTCGTGGTCGCACAAATTAGTCGCAATACCTGTGTTAGATATACGGATGAATGAAATAGTTTTTAAGAAGAAAATAAAATTGATAGTTATTAAGAACCAATCTATTTCAATCATTATCATCCAATGACGGCTATATGTCGAAAGAACGTTTTTCCTAAAAATTAAGGAGCAGTGTCCGTAACAGCGACGTTAGTTTTCTGACCACCAATCAAGCACTCCTTGCAATCATGTAACTTGCCCTTGACATCATTCAAATTGTATTATTATTTCATTGTTAGGTTCTGAGAAACTTCTCAAGTTACTCACGACAGGTAAATTAATACTGTTAGAATCACCATAGATTTGTGATTCCTCTTTTACGAATCGTAATGTAGGTATTAGAGGTATTTAAAATTTATTCAGACGTTTTGTAGATTGTTACAAAACAGGTGAATGCGTTTATTTTATATCTTAAATACATATGTAATATTGTTACCATAATCTTTACAATAACCCTTAATGAAAATTAAACGGATGCAACTATTAATAAAGATTCATTTCCTACGTTTTTTTGTACATTATAAATTAAAATATATCTACGCTACGTATAGGGAAACGATTAAATAATTCCAGAAGGTAAATTAATATAATTCAATAGATGTTTATCATACAATGTTACATATATATATATATCATTAATTATCGTATGTACATATATAACACCAGAACTACCAATTTTTTTTAAGTTAGACACTTATCAACAATTATTAAACTAACGAACTAATTATATTAATAAATTGATCTGCTCCTCCCTTCTCTAATTTCAAAGGCGTAGTGGTATTCATGATAAGAATGCGTTGACCATCGGTAGTTCTAGTGATAAATTATTAATATGTTTTAACTACATATTGAACATAATAAGTTTACATTATAACGAGGTGTGTAACCGACCTGTTAACTTATATACAAAATTAATATTAAAAGAAAGTTTTATTACTATCATGTCTGTTTCATATCTTAATTAAAATGAGATAATTTAATTAGAAATCTACATATATGTATAAATTATTTGCACATATATTTTTCTTGTGCGTGAACCTGATATTTTTATAATTATTCATTTTTAAATATGTAATATCTACAATGATACATACTATTTGAATCACGCTAGGTGATACATTACGAATTCAATAAAATCTTAATAATATCATCGAATCGATTACGAATGATTGTAAAAAATACTTTACTTTATAATTACATTTATCGCCTAACGTGATTCACGTGATTCAGTGGATAAAATTAGTATTTTTCGGTATGCCTACATATAATAGACTAGCCACTGGCAAGAAACCTAAAGCCTATACCATTTATAAATTTTTAACAAAGACAAATATTTAGTGTGTAACAGATAATGTAATAACACAAATAATACAAAGTTTACCTCTGTTACTGTAACGAAAAATGTATTTTAAAACAGGTGTTCTACACTATTTATTCACAGCCTATTTTGCCATTCTTGAAGACACATTATACACATATTCTCTTTTACCACGCTATACCATCTCTTCGGCCATGTTGCGCAACATAAACTCTCGATAGCAAAATTACCTTACAAAAATGATGAATCCAATTTTTATTCGGTAGATGCGAATCGTTCTTGCCAAATGTGAGTTCTGTGTTGGACAGATAAAATTGGATTTAAAACACGTTCTATGCAATGTATACGGTCTTTGAACCGTTCCCTATCTCGGGCCATTTGTTCCCATGGACCTCTTCGAGCAGCGCGATAGGCATAGTTCCACTGTATCATTGTGTGAACAACTGGTTTTAAATTAAATGTTACCTATAATAAAATGTTAATGTTTATTACCTCGGAATCGAAATAGTTCTAAACTAGAGCTGACTACCTACTTTTTGTACTGGAACCATGGATGTACTAGAACTGGAGTCTTCGTCTTTACACATATCTTCGTCTTCGCTAGTTTGGTCCATATCGCTTTCGTCGCTGTCTTCGAGATCGCTTCTATAATTTACTTCAGATCCAGTTTCAAACACTATACAATAACTGTCTTCTGAGTCAATGGAACTTTCTGACATTAGACGCGGTCGAAATGAATTTTTCTGAGAATTGTATCTATTATCAATGCAATCTGTATGAAACGGCTTTGTCTCTTCCGTATATTCGGGTATCCGTCTCATTCTCCCAGATAATTTACATATTCCTTGATCGCTGATCTTGCGCGTCTTTGACTTCTGAATTTTAGGTTTTACATCGGCGAATGTATACGTTTTATGACTATTGATTCCTACAGCATCCATCGTGTCTTTATCTAATCTAAAACAGTCTTCTGATTCTTTGCTTTCTACTGTACAATACACCTCAAAGTCTTGCCAGCTTTTGAAATCGCTTTCTATATCTATTTCTAAATCGTGCTTACTACGCTCTTTCCTATGTCTGGTTTGACTTACTCCTGACCGCCTCAATTGCGATCGCGCTCTGCCTCGACCTCTGCCCATCGCTATCGTATTAAGCTTCCTTCGTTGTTTCGGTGAGAGCGATTGTTTCATCGAATTATCCGATTCGATCAAATCTGTCCTATAGAATCGATCTGACACGCTGTTGCAAACTTTCTGCCACATATTTGTCAACCTATTCGATACCGTAGTTTGTTTATTCTCCTGTACGCTTTCTAGGTTCGAATCGAGTGTCGAGGGAGAGAATTCCTTGTTCGTAACTGTTTGATCAATTGTGCTATTGTCAATGTAAGTAGAAACTTGGTTCTTTTCGGATGTACTTTCGTTACAAGTATTTTCACAGTTGTCGATATCGTTTGCGACAAGCAGTTTGCGTGTATTTTTATACAAACAAGCATCTACCAACATTTCATTTGACCCTTCTATTGGTATTAGGTAGTCATAATCGATCAAATTACATTTACCATTTTCCTTGATAAGTGATTCCTTCTTATCAGGTGTTTCTATATAATTACTTTTTATATCAGTGCACTTGTAACTGTAATTTAAATTCTCCTTTATATTTTCATTAGAAATTCTACCTGTGTAAGGTTTCTTTTCGTTGAATATATCACTATGGATATATTCAACAACATTTAAAGATTCTTTCCTTTGGGCACCTTGTATGTACACATTATCAGAGTTCGATGTATCCCTTTTAGTTGTCAAATCTTTAAAAAATTCGTGCTGTATTATACCGTCATTGTGTACAACTGTCACGGATAACGAATGATTAATGCCTGTCATAAAAGAAGCAGGTACTTTGGAAAATCGCTCCCAGATTTGGTTAAACGTATTGAACACACTATGGAACATGTTCTCTTTCTTTGGGCCCGACATATTATTCTTCATATTCAATGTATTATTCATAGAATACATTTTTTCCATTTTTGATTTCAAAGGCAGATGCTGTATGGAATAGACGTCTAATATAGAAGCTGCAGGTACCATTGGATTGGAAATGGGAAACTTGGAAAAAAAATCCAAATTTTCAGATGTAGCATACTTCAAATTTAATTGCATACTTTATTCAAAATGTTGCTACTCCTTTACAGCTTCCCTTAGTTCTTATAAATCTCCTTTGCTGCACTGCAAACAAAATTCAGCATGGTAAAAATATTGTTCTAAATAATATCTAGAATGCTATCGATCTATTTATTAATGGTTGTCAGATTTATGCATGCCAGTGATAGTCACGAGAAATACTTAGATACTAACAATTGAAGGATTAGTAAAATATTGTCACGCATTGCTCCAAGAAACTTATTAATTTGGTAGGTAATTCGAAAATCATGAAAATATCTAATTAATTAAACACTCGTGAATCGATATACATATAGCGTTTACTTTTCGACGCGGTCTCGCCGTGGATTTATCGCGCACATTCCAGATACATATGTATGTAGATATCGGTTGATAGAAGAAATCGCTGAATGACAGGGCAATCGAATTGGGAATGTTATTCTCCGTTATCGCGGTTGTTAAAGCGTTGTTGTGCTTTAATATCGAACTTAATAATGCAACAATTTTACGTGATAATAATCGTTTTTAAAGCATACATACAACAGAGATAGCCTCCACAACGGTGACAACAGCAATCACATAGACAATCTTGCTCGGAATATGAAGGTTGAGACTTCTCTGTAACACACTTACTGTCTTCGAACAAAGAGTTTTTAACAAATCTTATCGTTACGGGCACAATACTTTGCTCTGATTCTTCAATAATTCCAAAGGATTCCATTGTAAAGTGACACATTATCGTAACACACATTTCGAGAAGAATTTTCAAGCGGCCATTTTCATTTAGTTCATGCACGGACGGATGGGTACTCGTGATTCATGCGCGTGGAGGCGCTGCTGTTATGGCGTTTTGCGTGTTTGCTATCGGCAGATACCGATAAAACTGTAATAATATATTTAAAGAATACTCTTTTTCAAGAAAACAATGCGTGAATTTTTATCCCTTCCCTTTGCAATATTAAACACGAGAAATTTATTTGAGACTGGCAATCTGAAAATAGTTGAAGTGAAAAGTTTCTTACATAATTTTTTAACAATGGAAAAACTGATGAAATCTTTTATTTCTTTGAAGAAATCTGCGATACCGCAGGTCTGATGCAAGTCAAGAAGTGAATGTACTTACTCTACATTCTAGCGTACATAGCTGCGATAACATTGCAAATGCGAGGATTTAGATGAATCGAAAGCGAGAAAAATAATTAAAATACTCATAGAAATTTGTACTAGTTCCTTTATTGGAAACGAGTCGTTCAAACATTTATTTCTAATAACATTAGACTGTCTTCGTAACAGTAATAAATTTATAATCGTAATTGTGGTTTCAATGTACATTACATTCACATTACTGATATAAAAAATAATACAAGATATAATTTACTACTCTGGAACAAAAGATTCTTACAAGTATTGCAATCCAATACCAAATTGAAACTTTTGCAATACATCGCTTCTTACGTGTAGCAAAGGCATAACTAGGTTCAATTCGATTCTTGCGACGTTTCCAAGTTTCATGGCGATACCACCGCCAACCGAGCAACGAACATTTTCCGTGAAGATTTTCATGTTTTCTTTGTAATTGTTGGCTGAAAATTATACAATTTTAATGAAGTACTTTTGTACATGTATACATGAAAGGATCGAATATCGTTTAACTTTGATTAATAAGGAAGGAAATGTTTGAATTTGGAAAACTCTCGTACATAATTTAAATGTGAAGTTTGATACATTTCCACCAGTGACAAACCCGTGTAACCTGAATAGGTCACCGAAACTATGTCGACCGGGTGTAAACGGCAGTGGTGTATAAAGATGTAATGCAAGTGCCCAATACGCATCGCCGCCTATCGAATTACCATCCTGTCGGGGTCCGCAACCTCTCATTTCGAATCCTCTAAGATTCATTGGTCCACCCAAAAAGAATTGATCGGTTATGCTTATTTTCATATCGTTATTAATTCCTCGAAGTAGCCCAGACTGAAGACCCAACTGGAAGGTCTAATTAAATGTTTGTATAATAATATAAGTTGTAGAAAGCAGAAATAATTAACAGGTCTAATATTTATTCTTCGAATCGAAAGATATTTACGAGAGATTCGTGCGGCGTCCAATTAGATTGTACGATAAGTTCATTCTTAACGAATCCAATATCTCCGCCGAGTCCAGCCACTTCCGTTGAAAATTGTACGAGGCTTCCCTTAGTAGGGAATATTAAGGAATCTCTTTTATCAATAGAACAAATGTGTCGCAATGCAGATTTCAAACTTGGACCAGATTGTTCACGGACACGAAACGATGCTTGTTTGGAAGATATAATTTTTCTATATGCGCCCTCGTATTGTAAGTTATGTTTCAATATACCAGCTCCGTCCGGATTAAGAGCGATATCTAATAAAAACCCTTTGTCGCATTCGTTATAACCGGACCACGGAAAATCACTGTTTGTGTTATATATGCTACCAGTTAACCTGGAGAAGAAAATAAATAGTAAATAATAGAAATGTTAAGTATCGAACGAGAAATAATTGTACGTACACGGTATGGAGCCAACTATCTACGAATGGCTTAACAGCAGACACATTTATATTAGTTGAACTTTTTGTACCATGAGAATATTCCATTTGAAGACGTTCCCCTCTTCCGAATAAATTAGGTGCTTTCGCTCCGATAACGAGAGAAGCTTCGTTATTTCCAACCATGGTATTAATTCCACCTATCAAACGTCTCATTTCGTGAACGGTAAAGGTGACCTGAGACAGAAAATACTTTAAGGTTTTTCACAAGAATATCTGGCACTTTTTACACAAATAATTTGTAAATGAACTGAAAAGAATTAAATCTGAGAAATTACTTATTTTCTGTCGAATTAGTGTGTAATTATATAGACCCACTTCAACGCCTTCTGGACTGGCACGAGGACCTTGACTGGTGTCAATGTAAATTCTGATACTCCTAAAACATCCTAAAGCTTCGAGTTTTCCTTTGACTTTATAGGCACGTAGAAGAACATCTTGAAAATCTTGAGCTTTAAAAAGGTCTGTTACTTGAGCTCTTATTATATCATCCTTTGTTCTCATAAGGCCATCTATGTGTACTCTATCTACTCTTGCCTGTTTAATACATAAATTGACGATAAGTTTATTTTACGAAACATTGAAATTATAAATATTAACATACCTTTACAGACTGCAAATCAAAAGATTTTTGTTTAATTTCTTCTTCCTGTGATAAGTTCTTTTTCTTATTATAATATGTTGACTAAAAATAAAGATTGTTAAATGATTTTTAGAGATATAAATAAGAATATAACAATTATTACTTACAGAATCATTTCCTTTCTCAGAATTGTGTTTTCCTCTGGCGACAGCTGTGTTTGAGCTTTGATTTAAGTTTTTGGGTAAATTTGCTTCCTGAAGCAATAAAACAAATAGAAGGTTGTTAAACATTTTATTAAAATAATAACTGAAAAAATAAGCAAAAAATGTAGAGAATATAAAGTTGAACATGTTGTAAAAATAATAGAAATATATAAACTTGATATAATTTCTAGCCGTGGAATAATAGTCTAAGGGATTATTATTAGAGATTACTCATGGTTTAAACGAATGATTTTAATTTTAGGTTATGCGGTGTTTTACTAATAATAAGTGATTACCTTTGCATGTACAGTTCCCATGTCTATTAGAATTAATTTTGTTTGTCTAAATGGAAAGTCACATTAAAATAACGTATCAAATTTTGTCCAGGCCTATTAAATACGTGACAATGAAAAAAAGGGATGAATTTTTCAAATTAAGTATTTGGAAAGATCGAGGACGTGCGATGGTACGATTGTGGACGGTGTGGCTTGTGGCATTGGGCACAATCCAATCAGGCACAATTGGGCATTGGGCACAGTGACATATAGTCAACTTTAATTCGTAATTTTCTTTAGTTGTAGATTATTGAATAAAAATTAATAAAATGTCTATAATTATCGTAAAGTTTTTATGCGAATAAAACAACAAATAGTTTACAATAATTTGGATTCATTCATTTGACTAAAGTTGTCAAAAAGGTGTCATGGAACGGTATCGCCATCTAGCGGTGGAAGGTTTTTCGACCTATATAGCAAGTAATCATAAATTTTGCAGTTATTTCCATATACAGGGTGTCCCAAAAGTCGGGGAGGAGCCAGAAATGGGGGGTAGCTGAGACGATTCTGAACAACAATTTCCTTTGCAAAAATGTCGGATGGGGCTTCGTTAAGGAGATATTAAGCGAAAACCCTGACCAATCAGAGCGCGCGTAGCCTTCGCTACCGCGGCCGCTCGAACGGTCTACGGTCTATATATATATATATATATGTAGTTGAACGTAATGTTAAATGAAATGAATCATTAATTTGGGCTTGTAGCCTTGTATTTATAATAAAAAAATTATTAAAAATTAATTTTAATTTTATGCCGGTAATCAATGAATTAGTGGCGCCATGGGTGGCAAAATGCCCAAGTTTGTAGTGAAATTAGTTGCCAGTATTTCCGCTAGATGGCGCCACAAATGTATTTAATGCATTACTCCTTATTTATAAATAAATACATAATTAATACGATTAATTGCTTCGTAACACTATAATAGTTTATTCCAATTTATCGTTTAACATTTATCACTATTTGTTTTAAACCGTTTAGTCACTCACGCCATCTAGCAGTAACTATGGAAACTATTTTTACGACAAACTTGGGCGTTTTTCTACCGATGGCGCCACTAGTACTAAAAGAGTTTATGGCGACATCTAACAACAACAATAACAACTATTTTCAATATAAACATGGTCGTTTTCGCACTGTGAGATGGCAGCATGTAATAGAATTAAAAAGCATTCTCCGCGCGTTTGACACTACTCGAAAAACTTGTTCAGGAACGTTCGGTAGACGATAGATGACTAGAGTTAAAGGTACTATGCGAAGCGTGTGTAAAGAAAAGTGCGTCGAGTCTCTGTGGGATGTTTAAAAACGGTGACGCAAGATTGTGATAAATGTTATCTTGGTCAAACGATCTTGTGAACGTCGGCTCCAAGGAGTGTTACGGTTACCATTGGTACGATCATACATTGCGACGTGCATCTTGGGTGAGTGACTTTTTAGATTAAACGCCGATTAACCGGCATTTTACGCATTATCACAAGGATCTATCGCACTCTCTTTGTTCGGCATAATGATCATTATTCCCGTAAATTCAGCCGGAAGTTATCGTACGATCTAAACTTCCTAACCTACTCTTTCTCTCTATAGAGTCCTATCAAGTTTCCTTTCGATCAATATCCACTTTTATATCGTAAAAAGATTTGTTTGAAACGACCGTGACAGTCGTCTCGATTAATCAAATACGTTACTTGTGCATGAGATTACGGTAATTTTCGTGCACCACTTGTGGTCTCTTTCTCTGATTGGAATGGCTAACTCTAACAAGTCTCTTTCATTTCTAGACTGCCTTGGAGATGAAACACGCAGATGTATCATATCTCATTTAGTTATGGTATTCGTATTATCCTCGTCACGAGTAATGTCGAGTTTTAAAAACTATTTTCGATCGTTTTCATCTATACGTTTTATTGTTAGTCACGCATTTGTTAAAAAATAACGATCGTTGACACGCGTGTGCTGTACATATAGGTAGATGGATCGTCAACAAATGACCTTGATATGCAAATGATCACGTAGCGCATAATATGCACATATTTACGTTGACACGGCAAGTACTCGTGTCCCTTCGATAGCTCAGTTGGTAGAGCGGTGGACTGTAGTCGGGTTGATTCATGAGAGACATCCATAGGTCGCTGGTTCAAATCCGGCTCGAAGGAAATTTTTTTTTAATTTCAAAATTGCTATTTTCTTCGTCGTCACCGAACTACTCGTTTTTAAATGAATTTTACAATATCGATGTAGCGATAAAACAACCCGATAACATGATAAAACGAAGTACACAAGTGGGAACAATTAACATTACGAGGATACATGAATTTTTATTCGTTCCTCCGAACGAGTTTTCCAGATTTTAAATAATTTCGGTTTAACGATTGTTGCTCCGTTATTTCGCGTGTCTAATACTTGCTGCCCTCTGGAAGTTTCGTTGCACATAGCGATGCAGGCTGTTGATAATGCAGTCTATGCGTTATCGAGTGCACGGTGACCGGTGACCTTTCGATTTTATTACGTGTACGATCTCGTCTTTGAATAAAGTGGAATGCAAGAAGAATGTACAAGAATACAGAAGAAGGAAGAAATGACTGAATACATCGAGTACATCGAGTACATCGAACGAATGGCGAACCAGGAAGAATTAAATCTCTCGTATGATCGAGCGGATCATTCGCGAAACGCGTAGCTGATACAACGCGCCGTACGTTCACGTTAATTTATCGTCGTTCCCCTAATCGTCGTTCGTAATTTATTACTAGTCTGTTGATATTTATTGGCGGCCCGGTGGGTGCATTGTACACACGAAATTGCTTATATTGTCGAGTGGGATCGGGTGTGTAGCTATGAATTATTCGCACGCGAAGGTGTGATACCTGACGCGCACCGGATAGATTGCAATTGCAGACAAAGATGATTTGATGGTACTTTGTATCGCGCTTTGTACATGACCTCGCCGCGCATAAATCACTTGGTTCGGTGACAATACCGTACTCGTAAATCTTATCGGGTCGCATTACGCCAGGAGCCCATCGAGTTTCAGTCGATCGAAAGGATATTTAGATGGAAATATGACGGACGCGTATCTCTATTTGGGACGTTTGGGAATCGGGCTAGGGTTATCATCGTAGGCTATTGGGAAAGACCAAATCACTGCCAGTCATATTTGGTACTCATCTTCTACTAATTTCTACCACAAACAGTAATTTCGGAAATGCCATCATTCGGATACCGCAATTTCGCGACGATTGTCCGCGCGAAATGTATCCGAGAAGCAAATATAACGATATCCCAGCGTTCGCTCGTAAGGTCAAACGAACATGAAACTTTTTTCTCGGATGGCCGCAACTTTGTAAGTATCGTTCGTTTCGCGAACGCGATTATGACCGTCGCTTCGCTTCAGCGGCGACGCTTTATCTTCCCGAATCAGGCGAAACCATTCATCGGAATTCGTTCCTCTTCGTTTGCAAATGTTTCACAAACGAATTGCTCGGTTCTGTCCGCGCGAACGAAACGTATCGTACGCGAATAATTAATAATGCGCAGGAAAACAGAGGCTGTTTTAATTCCAATAAAACGACGCTGTTCGCGTCGCTTGACTGGAATTAATTCGCTGGCGTTAACGCGGACAAAAGAACGCAAAGAGGCAACAACGGGCCATCGCGAAGGTACGAAACGTAGACACCGGAAATCTAATCGGCCGTTAAACTCGCGAGACCTCCGCGGAACGACACGGAAAACGCTTGCAATTCGTTCGTCCGGTTTCCGCCGCGTGCGGTGATAACGATCAACGGCCGTTCCGCTGCGAAATCGCCTCCGACGAACCGACCGCGCCACGCCCCGTCAACACGATTATTCTTATTCAAATGACGAAAAGCTTACATCCAACAATGCCCGATCGATTGGCGAGCATCGAAATTCTGGAGGCAAACGTTTCGCGAGGCAAATCGTTTGCGAATCGAACGGTTTACCAATAACGTATCTCGGTGACGTCTGGGATTTACGCGCGTCGGCCATCGCGACGATTATACGGGCCAATTTGCATCGCGACGACGTCTGGACATTTTTCACTTTTCCAAAGAGAGCTGTAGAGACAGTGGTCTAAATAGGAGTCTGACGGAAAAATAACGCACAGAGATTCGAAACACAAGTCTAGTTGTACACAAACGGTTTAACAACGGACCATTTTCTCTCGCAGTAAAAAAGGAAAAGTTCTGGCACAGTTGAAGATCGCGAAGCGTTCGCTGGCGGCCTAGCGATATTTCCTTGGTCGTCGGTCCTCGGTCCTCGGTCGTCAGCAGCGACGAAAGAGATATTATTTGCTTCAAGTGGACCCGATTCCTAGCTACGATGAATTATGGGAGCTCCGGCTGCTCCCACAAGGAAATTCCCCGAAGGGCTGGCTTTCGCGTAGGCCGAGAAACTCGCCGAGTTGTGTTATTAGTTCTCGGCGTTGAACGGGCTGCATGCCTTAGTTGGCCGATTACCGATTACCACCCGCGCTCCACCGTTTCTCTCGTATTTCCAAGTCTACGGCCGGGCTGATCACCTTTTGCACACCAGGCTTCGCAATCTTCCAAGGAATTAACGCCTTGACCAGCGTACAGCTCCCAACGGACCTCGAAACGTTTTCGACAGTTTCGACGCAACTAATTAAACCGCGTTACACTCTTTTTAAGAGGATTACGCGTAAAATATCGTTACGAGCACCAGATATATCGAATCGTAGCCAGCTGCGTAACATTGAACACGAACAAGCTTAAATTATCATCGGACGTTTTTGGAAATTCAAAATATACAGTTTCTGCTATACAGGAACGAAAAACGAACCACCATCCGACAATTTTGCAAAGGAAATTGTGCTTTCGAATCGTCTCAGTTACGCTTTCCTCCATTTCCGATTCACTGATACACTAACTCCAGGACATCCTGTATCGAAAGTGTTCCAAGTTTAATAATCAATATTTCAAGATAGCCCACGGCGTAACAATATAAACGCAAACTTGCTCTCTCCGTAGAGTTATTTAACGAGGAGCTTCCAAGTAGGTAGCTTTACGCAGAACGCAAAGTAAAGATTCAACAATTTGGTCTGAAGAGCAGAAAACGGCATCAAAGAGGACCTTCGGTGGACTAGAAATTACAGACATCGACAATTTGTTGTTGTTGAGGAAGATAGCGCTACAGGAGAATCGACGAGATCCCGCTCACCGAGCTGGATACGTTCTGTGAAAAACTAGATCGCATCGACGCGATTATCACGGCTTAACTAGACGTGTGCAGCTACACGTCCCAAGACGCATATGAAACGCGGAACAAGCTCGCAGCTGTAAATACGACAAACTACGAGCTGCCTGGGAATTGGTCCATTTGTTCTCCAAATCTGCGCGTGTTTGATATATCCGATGCACGCTTTATCTTACCTCGGCCGTGCCGCGATCGTCTAATTATCAGAGGACAATTCCAACGACGAGCACGGAAATCAATATATTATTGAAAATAGAAACGCCGTCCTTGCATGATTTTAACGCTAAACCTATGTGCGATATATAATACGTGGTACGATATTTAGTATCACGTGAAATACGTTTATATATTTAATGGAAAGAGGTGCCTTTAAGACTAGTTCGATCACAGTAGAAATAGGTAGAAATGAAAGCTCGCTACAAAGAAACTTTTGTCGTCGCGAGACACACGACTGGGTCGTAGTTGGAAATTCTTCTTACGAAACAGCGTTTCGTCCAACAAATTCTCTCAACTCCCGATACTCTGCGGTAACCCTGGCTAAACTCGACAACGTATCACGGATAAATTTCCAGTCTGCTCGACCGTGTTGCTCGCGACACATTACCGCCGCGAGACGAAACTTGGAGACGTGTCGCCTGGGAAGACAATCGGCAAGCGAAAGAGGATTCTTCTCGAATTCATTTGAAATTGAAAAACGGCCGCGGCGCGGGCGCCACCAAGTAAACTTGTGATCGTCGGTTACCTATCGACGTACGATCAGTTTTCCATTTCCGTGTTCTCGAAGCGGATCTTTTCAAATCCGATCGCTTCGGGATCGAGCAAGCGATACGTTCCGATTCGGATTCGCGAGTTGACCTCATCGATAAGGATCGCGTAGCGGATCCCACCTTGGACAAGACGCGATTAATCGTTCGAACGGTCTCCGATTACTCGATTAGTACATAATTACTCGGACAGGTCGCGCGTCCAATGATTAATAGCGCTACGTCCATTGACAGGATCCGCTGGGTAAGCCTTACCGATGGATCCGAGTAATAGTGGATTCAGGCGAAACGTGTTTTCTGACAAATTATTTATCAGCTTTTTACTGTCATTGTCTAATTGTAAATCGTCAATATCGAATTGTCAGCGATATTCAGTGATAGTGGTTTCTAGTGATTGGATCAGCGATCGTGGACCGAATGCAGCC